TCTAGATTACTAGTTTAAATAATTTTTAAAGAATAGTTAAAATATTTACTTTTTAAGAATGGTTAAATAGCAGATATTGCTCTTATAAATGAAAAACTTAAACAGATAAATAGAATTAAATTACCTAATGTTGCATAATCTTGAGTTTGTATCAAAGACCCATCTAGTAGATAAATGACAGGAACCTGGTCATTATGAATGACAAATCCATAATATCATTCTTCATTTTATTTCATTTCATTTTATTGAATTTGTATACCGCCCTACTCCCGAAGGACTCAGGGTGGTGAACAGCCATAGAATAAAACATATAAATACAAAATTTAAAATAGAATAAAACAAATTAAATAATTTGGCTGAACAAATTTAAAACCCCAATAATTTAAAACCAAATTTAAAATTTCCATTTAAAAAGGGGAAAGAACTTAGGTCAGGCCAGCTTGATGAAATAAAAACGTCTTGAGCGCGCGACGGAAGGTACGCAGATCCGGGATCCTCCGTATCTCCGGGGGGAGCTCGTTCCAGATCGTAGGTGCCCCCACAGAGAAGGCTCTCCCCCTGGGGGCCGCCAGTCGACATTGTTTGGCCGACGGCACCCAGAGGAGCCCCTCTCTATGGGAGCGTACTGGTCGGTAAGACGCTATTGGTGGTAGCAGGCGGTCCCGTAAATAACCAGGTCCTAAGCCATGGAGCGCTCTAAAGGTGATAACCAAAACCTTGAAGCGCACTCGGAAGACCACCGGGAGCCAGTGCAGCTCGCGCAGGAGAGGCGTTACATGGGAGCGCCACGTCGCTCCTATCACCACCCGCGCGGCCGCACTCTGCGCCAGTTGGAGCCTCCGAGTGCTCCTCAAGGGGAGCCCCATGTAGAGAGCGTTACAATAGTCCAGACGGGAGGTGACGAGGGCATGAGTGACCGTGCCTAAGGAGTCCCAATTCTTGGTTCCTCAATCCCATTTTAGGATTATATCTCAGTCATATTTGGTTCACTAGCTTTGAACTCTTCTAGCTTTATGCTATACGAGGCTGACATTAATAAAAAATTTTCCTTGTCAGTGTCTTACCTATTACTATTACTATTAATTTGACTTATATGCCGCCCTTCTCCGGAGACTCAGGACGGCTTACAGTGCATTAAGCAATAGCCTTCATACTTTTGTATATTTATACAAAGTCAGCTTATTGCCCCCACAAACTGGGTCTTCAATTTACCTACCTTAGAAAGGATGGAAGGCTGAGTCAACCTTGAGCCTGGCGAGATTCGATCTTACTTTAATTGCAGACAGCTGGTGTTAAATTACAGAGCTCTGTCTGTTGAGCTATCCAGGCTTCCTCATTTTGTGGAAATAAGCAATGCAAGTGGGTGCCAGGTGCTGAGAAAATCAGGAGATTCAGACAAGTCAAATGGGTATAAATATTTATTGTAAGTGTAAGGACTTGCCTCTCCTATCCCCTCAAGAAAGCAGAACTTTTGAAACAGGCAGCATTTCAAAAGGAACTTTTATTGGCAGATAGCAATAGCAAGGAAAATAGGCAGGATCTGAAGTTCCCACGCAAAACTGTTAAAAGTTGTAAAAACCTCTCCCCTTTGTCCATTCCGTAGTGAGCCAATCCACAGGTGTGAAGTTGTTGTGAGAACTTTGAGCTGAGAAGGAAATAAGAAGCTGTTCTCAGGCTCTGCTTGCTTGGCCCTCTGGATCTGAAACACAACAGATGGCCCAAAGCTCATCCCTCCCCCTCCCATTTCCCAGGAAGGTATATCAAAGTAAAGGAAAGACATGGGCAAGAAAGAACCCCAGCTGTTGGGAGTCACCATCGAACTTGATGCCTGCGGTTTTTGTGTGCTTTCCGCTCCAGCTGGGGAGCCCTTCCAGTTCCAACCCTGGGGATGTTCACAGTGCCCAGGTCTCTGCAAGGAGGTGTGGCAACCATTCTTTCCTCAGTCTCAGTTGTATTTGCAGATGTCCCTGGGTTAGGGAAGCCCCCCCCCTCCACCAGTGGCTTCTCCATGCACTGTCACCTCCATCTGTAGGAAGTTAGCACCCACCCCTTTCCTAGAAGAATGAAATATTTTAGGAAATATTAAAAAGGCAGAATATTATGCTTCCCTGGATGACAAATGGAGAAGCATGTTTTAAAGACAAAGCAGCTCCCATCTTCCTGCCCCCACCCTTTGTCAATGGGCCAGAGGCAGAAACTCAATCTTTGTCAATGCAACACAATAGGACCCATCTGCAACACAATAGCAACAGAAACTCACCACATGGCACCTGGGAAGATTACATCAGCCAGCAAGGCTAGCTAAGACCCCCACCCCCTGGGAGTCTGACAACCAATCAAGATACTCTTGAAATTCAAAGCCAGAGAGAGCATAACACCCAGGACTCTGTATCTCGCCCCCTTTTCTGTTCAGGAACTCAAACCATGTGATCCTGTCCAGCATTAAACCATCTTTCCAAGCAGTCTCCATGTTTCCATTGTCTTTTTTCCACTTGGAGCTGAACCCAGAAGGATATTTCTTCCAACACATCCATGCAGGTGTCTTGGGCTTTTAGGTTCTGGAAACCCTCCATCATGAAGTGCATGGCATGCTTCATGAGGTGGTCCCCATGGCCCAGCTCCTCATCCAGGTCGCTGTCTTCACACAGGGCTTCCAACTCGCATCTCCAGCCATGCTGTTGGCTGCCTTGGGTGAGGTTAACTCCCTTGATTCTCCCTTCTCCGTCTTCCTTCTTCCCAATACCAATGGACCACCTCAGCTTTGTGGGGTCTTCCAGGGTAGCCTCCAGAGGTTGCATCGGGTTGAGCCATGGTGGAAGATTCCCCCCAGCACTTGGCCTCTAGGTGCTCACTTCCCTGGTCGGACATTCTTTGCAAGGTCCCCTCGGTAGAGTCAAAAGCTTCTCTGGATTGACCACTTTGCAGATCCTGTCTAATGTAAGGACTTGCCTCTCCTATCCCCTCAAGAAAGCAGAACTCTTGAAACAGGCAGCATTTCAAAAGGAACATTTATTGGGAGATAGTGATAGCAAGGAGACTAGGCAGGGTCTGAAGTTCCTGCTCAAAACCGTTAGGTTAAAAGTTGTCCAGTCCAAGGTGTAGGAAGAAATATCCTTCTGGGTTCAGCTCCAAGTGGGGAAAAAGACACTGGAAACACAGAGACTGCTTGGAAAGATGGTTTAATGGTGGACAGGATCACATGGCTTGAGTTCCTGAACAGAAAAGGGGACGAGATACAGCAAGTCCTGGGTGTTATGCTCTCTCTGGCTTTGAATTTCCTGGGGCCCCGAAAGAGTATCTTGATTGGTTGTCAGATTCCCAGGGGGTGGGGGTCTTAGCTAGCCTTGCTGGCTGATGTAATCTTCCCAGGTGCCATGTGATGAGTTTCTGTTGCTATTGTGTTGCAGATGGGTCCTATTTGTGTTGCATTGACAAAGATTGAGTTTCTGCCTCTGGCCCATTGAGAAAGGGTGGGGGCAGGAAGATGGGAGCTGCTTTGTTTTGAAAACATGCTTCTCCATTTGTCATCCAGGGAAGCATAATATTCTGTCTTTTTAATATTTCCTAAAAAATTTCATTCTTCTAGGAAAGGGGTGGGTGCTAACTTCCTACCCAGGCGAGCCAATCCACAGGTGTGAAGTTGTTGTGAGAACTTTGAGCTGAGAAGGCAATAAGAAACTGTTCTCCAGCACTGTTTGCTTGTCCCTCCGGATCTGAGACAAAACAGATGGCCTCAGGCTCATCCCTCCCCCCTCCCATTTCCCAGGAAGGTACAGCAAAGTAAATCTCCTCCTGATCACTCCCTTGAGCTCCCATAAAAGGGCTGTGGCCTATTCAGAACCATCTAGAATATCCAGTTTGTGCATACTTGATTTAGATGAAGAGATTGAAAGGGAACTCATCAAATTTACAGATGACACCTAGTTGGGGGGAATAGCCAACACTTTAGAAGATAAGCCCAAGATCCAGAAGGATGTTGACACATGTGAGCACTGGGCCCTTTCCAGCAAAATACAAGTCAGTAGTGAGAAAAATAAGGTCTGTGTTATACTGTATAGTTAAGACTACACTTTGAATACTGCATCCAGTTTTGGTCACCAGGATACAAAAAAGTTGTTGAGACTCTAGAAAAAGTGCAGAGAAGAAGAACAAAGACATTTACACATTTCACTATTTCACTTGGCTCAGCTGCAAAGATAGTGTTGGAAGAAATCTCCTTCTAGGTTCTGCTCCAAGTGGGGAAAAAGACACTGGGAACATGGAGACTGCTTGGAAAGATGGTTTAATGGTGGACAGGATCACATGGCTTGAGTTCCTGAACAGAAAAAAGGGCAGATACAGCAAGTTTTTCAGGTTTTATGCTCTCTCTGGCTTTGAACTTCCTGGGGCCCAGAAAGAGTACTCTGATTGGTTGTCAGACTCCCAGGCGGTGGGGGGTCTTAGTTAGCCGATGGTCACATGTGCTTCCCAGGTCACATGTGGTGAGTTTCTGCTGATATTGTGTAGAGAGCTAATCCTATCTTTGATGGATCTTTGGCAATTCCTACTATGGCTCTGCCTGAAGGAGGCAGATCTTTGTTATGTAGAATAGACTGGCCCAGGCCTTAATGGCCCATTGACAAAGGGTGGGGGGCAGGAAGGTGGGAGCTGCTTTGTCTGTAAAATATGCTTCTCATATTTCTCATCCAGGGAAATATAATATTCTGCCTTTTTCATATTTCCTAAAATATTTCACTCTTCCAGGAAAGGGGTGGGTGCTAACTTCCTACAATAGGTTGCTAGGAGTCTGAAAATGACTTGATAGCATGTGATCAGTGAGAAGATCTGGCCAATGCCATGGGTAGAGAAGGGACAAGCCTGTTTTTTGGCCTCCTACCGCTAGATGGCAGCATCTATGCCTAAAAAGCCAACAGTATAACAGCGTTCTCTATGGTTGAGTTTAAAGGAGTTAAAACCATCAAGTACTGTATTGCTAGAAAGGATGAAAAGGGAGAAGTACAGAGGAACTTCCTCTTCCGGAAAGGAACAGGAGAGGAGAGGAGAGCCCTGCGTGGCGGCTCTGTTGCTTCTTCCAAGGATGGAAGCAGCTGCTGGAAGGTGAGTTGAGGGCAGATCGGAGGGGAATCCGGGAGCAACTCAGGCTGTTTAGTTCCCTCCACGGCCTGGAAGCAGAGAAGCAACTAGAATGAGGAATAACAGTTGGAAGGGATCTTTGAGGTCATCTAGTCCAGCCCCCTTCTCCAGCAGGAGACCTTATACGTTTCAGGCACATGGCTGTCCAGTCTCTTCTTCAAAGCCTCCAGAGATGGAGCAACCACAGCTTCTGCAGGCAAACCAGTTAATTGTTCTCACAGTCAGGAAAGGTCTCCTTATTTCCAGGTTGCTTCTCTCCTTGATTCGTTTCCATCCATTGTTTCCTGTTCTGCCTTCAGATGCTCTGGAGAAGAGGTTGAGCCCCTCTTCTTTGTAGCAGCCAGGGTGGATAAAAATCAATGATTTTTTTTAAAAAATCAAAAAAAAATCAGCTTTTTTGATTTAAATCGGATTTTTTAATTTAAATCAGATTTTTTTTATTTTTATTGAATTTATTTTAATAAAAAACTTTTGGGGTAAAAATCTATCGTAAGATAGTTTTCTATTTAAGATACATAAATAATTTAGTTTATTCAGCATGAAATGGAGCTTAGTTATGTAGCACAAGGCTGTATATTCTGCAACACTGGGACTATCTGTGAGTCAACAGTGGGTCAAAGGAGTAGCAGAGATGACAGTTGCTCTTTAAAAATTATGATTTAAATCATGATTTAAATAGACTCAATTTAAATCAAATCCACCCTGGTGGCAGCCCCTCAAATATTGGAAGACTTCTATCATTTCACCCCTCCTCCTTCTCTTTCTCTTCTGTAGACTAGACATACTCAACTCCTGCAACCCTCTTTATATGCTTTAGCCTCAAGCCCCCAAATATGTTTGTTGCCCTTTCATGTCTTCTCTCTTAGTGTTTAGTTCAGTCCATCCTGTATCTTTTGGATGACAAAGATGTCAGGTTCCTCAGCTTCAGCAAGGGATTGGACTAGATAGAAGGTCTCCAAGATCCCTTTCAACTCTTTTGTTCTTTTATGGACCCTGTTATTAGACAGACAAATTATCAGATTTGGAAGATAGTCCAACACCTCCCCACCCCACCCCATACACCATTTCTGACAAATGGCAGTCCAATCTCTTCTTGAAAGCCTCCAGTGATGAAGCTCCCAGAACTTCCGAAGTTGCGTTGATTGTTCTCACTGTCAGAAAATTTCTCCTTATTTCTAGGTTGAATCTCTCCTTGTTCAGTTTCCATCCATTATTCCTTGTCTGGCCTTCGGGTGCCTTGGGAAATAGCTTTTTTTTTTTTGAGTTTTTTATTTTCTTTTATTACAAACATTCTATCTTACATTAAACAGTGTGTCATCTGAGTATAAAATTATTTGTGTCTTAACAATTAAATTTACCACCATATTCATTTGTTACGTTCATTCTTATATTAATACTAAATAATAATAATACTGATAAAAATAACAAAAACCTAACATTTCTCTTCTTTACTTATCTATTGCTTTCATATTTATTCTCTAACCATTGATAAAATAACTCCCATGTTCTCCTTTTCTTGTACTGCTAGTGTTAATCTATTCATTTCTGCACAATCTAATATTTTCTTAATCACTTTTTCATCTATAGGGATCTCTTCGCTTTTCTAATTTTGTGCAAATACAATTCTAGCTGCAGTTATTACATGAATAATCAAATATATAGTTTTTTTTACTATAAATTCTTGGTAAAATCCCCGACAGAAACAATTCCAGTTTTAAATCAATATTTACAGTTCCTGAAGTAACGACGTCCGGGCGGGTGGGCGGAGGCTCACGCTGCCACCACTACTGGTTCTCCAAACCACGTGCTGCCACCGCTACTGGTTTGCCCAAACCAGTGCAAACCGGTAGCATTTCACCCCTGATGTGACCAAAGTTTTTTGCCCATGCTATCACTGTTTCTTTGACTTGTTCTTCTAATTTAACGCTCAATAAGTAACTGTACAATTTTTTTATCATTCTCTCTTCTGTTCCTGTCAATATCTTATCCAATTCTGTCAGTTCCATATAAAAACCATAAAGTTTAGCATCCTTTTCATATCTAGATTGTATTTGCAACTGTGTATACCAATCCATATCAATCCCCTGTTTTTCCAGTTCACATTTCATTTTACATTCCCCCTTTTCCAACAAAATATCTTTGTATCTAAAAATATTTCCCATATTAATAATCTTTGGATGTATAAGTGCTTCCATACCAGTCGAAAGCCAGACTGGTATCTTCAAATAGTATTGCTCTCTAATTTTTTCCCATACTAATAACAAAGCATTTCTTATGACTTTGGAAGTAACCATGTATCTTATTTTTCCCATGCCATAAAAAAGCATGCCAACCTAATTGCAGATCATGTCCCTCCAATGTCAATAACTTTGTATTTCTCAATACAATCCATTCCTTCATCCAAGTTAGCACTGCTGCCTGGTATTATAATTTCCAATTCGGTCGTCCAAACCCTTCCCTATCTCTTACATCTTGTAACATTTTTAGATTGATTCTCGCTTTTTTCCCTGCCATGTATATTTCACTATTATCTTATTGAGCTCTTCAAAATATTTTTTCTCCAATTTTATCGGGATTGTTTGGAATAAAAACAATACTCTCGGTAATATGTTCATTTTAATTGTTGCTATTCTTCCTATTAACGATAATTGCAGGTTTTTCCATCTATCCAAATCTACCTCAATTTGCTTTTTTAGCTTATAGTAGTTGTCTTCCTTAATTGTTATACATCTTGCTGTTAATTATATCCCTAGATATTTTACTTTCTTTGTAATCTGAAGTATCTAGTCTCTTCGTCAAGTCCCTTTTCTGCTTTTCTGTTATATTTTTCACTAAAATTTTCATTTTATTAATTTTCAGTCCTGTCACCTTGCCATATTCTTCTATTTTTTTAATAACATTGGTCCTGTTTCTTGCAGATCTTCTAAAATAAATATCAAATCATCTGCGAATGCATGCAATTTATATTCCTCCTTTTTTATTTCCATACCCTTTATCTACTTATCCTGTTTTATATTTCTATTTAATACCTCCAATGTCAATACAAATAACAACGGGGATAAAGCACATCCCTGTCTTGTACCCTTCATAATATTAATCTTTTCAGTCATATCTCCATTTACCATCACCCTTGCTGATTGCTTATGACAGTGATGGTTAACCTTTTCTGGACTGAGTGTCCAAAGCACGTGCGTGCATGAGTGAATGTATGCATGTGCGCCGAACCCCCCAGTGTTCAAATCTGTCAAAATCCATCTGGATCTTGAACCTATCATCTAGGGTGTTAGCTATTCCTGCCAGCTTAGTATCATCCGCAAATTTGGTAAGTTCCCCTTCTATTCCCTCATCTAAGTTTATGAAGATATTGAAGAGTACTGGACCTAAGATGGAACCTTGTGGTACCCCACTGCTTACTTCCCTCCATGTAGACATAGACCCACTAAGGAATACTTGTTGAGTACGGTTTGTAGCCAGTTACGAATCCATCTGGTGGTGATGCTGTCTATCCCACTTTTTTCTAGCTTACCAAGAAGTACTCTATTTTTCAGACCATAAGATGCTCCGGACTGTAGGACGCACCTAGCTTTTGGGCAGGAACCCCCCCCCCACCCCGCCTTTGCCTCTGCCTCCCAGCAATTTGCCTCCTTGCAGCAAACAGCCTGGTCAGCTTCAGCACAGCCTGATTTAGCACGAGCAACTGATTGGCGATTGGATCTGTCTCCCAGAATACCAACGATCAGCTGTTCCAGGCTGTGGGGATTGCTGCGGCGGCAGCAATCCCTGCAGTGCCACCCATCAGCACTGCCACCTACTGTCACCTACGTGTGCCCCATTTTTGGCCTCTGCACATTTTGTTTTCGGCTTCCACACACCCCGTTTTCGGTCTCCACGCATCCCATTTTTGGCCCGTTCCAGGCGGTGGGGATAGGTGCCAGCGGTGATCTCTGCTGCCTTGGAATGGGCCAAAAATGGGATGCGTGGAGGCTGTGATAGGTGGCAGCAGCGATGGGTGGCACCAATGCCAATGGGCGGCAGCATTCCCCGCATCCTGGAACAGCTGATTGGTGGTATTCCGGGAGGCAGATCCAACCGCCAATCAGCTATTAATTGATCAAAATATAAAATATAGAATTGCAAAGAAAAATGAACATAATGGTGCAAGAAGGGAGGAAAAGGGGGAGTGAGAAAAGTGTAAGGTTAAGGGGAAAAGAAAAAGAAAAGCATTGACTTCTGACTCCTTTTGGTGCACTAACATAAAACCTCAACTATCTACTTTTATATAATAATATTAACTAGCATTCTACAACAAACTTATCAACAAAATCCCAAAATCAAACCCTTATTTATTTTCTATCTCAAGAACGAAGTCCAAAAGCGGTTTCCATGTCGAAACAAAATTAATCCTGTTCTTTTCTTTAATCAAAGTAGTCAATTTAGCCATCTCTTCTAACGGCATAAGGTTTTGAAGCTATTTGTCCATCGTGGGAATGAAAATATTCTTCCATTTTTGTGCGTACAGTATTCTTGCTTCCATCAACATATATAACATCAATCTTCCATTTTTTTCAAGTTCTTTATCCATTAAGCCTAAAAAATACTAACTGCTTTAATCTTTATATTCACTTTAATAGTCTTCTGTGTTAAGATGTGTATCTTACTCCAACATTCCTTTGTGACATGCCCACCATAAAAGATAAAAAATTCTTCTTTATATTTCCAAAATTCATTGCCTTTATATCATTCCCTAATCATATCATACCATAAACACTCGTGCCATCAAAATCTAATTCATGGCCCTCTCTGTCAAATAACCTCTTAATTTGAAGAGTCACCCACTTTTTTTGCCAGACAAAACAACAAGCATCAAAGTACAATTTCAAATCTGATAAACCCTCCTCTTTCCTTAGCGTATCCTTAGCCTCTTGCAATAATTTATATTTCATTCTTGCAATATATACCTAGAGATTTCCATCTGCCATTGTTTAAATGGAGTATCATTTACAAGTATTGGTAAAGTCTGAAACAGAAAATCCATCTTCGGTAATTCAGGTGCTGGAGGCTAAAACATACAAAGAATAGTTACAAGAATTGGGTATGTCTAGTCTAATGAGAAGGACTAGTGGAGACATGACAGCAGTGTTCCAATATTCAAAGGGCTCCTATAAAGACAAAAACAAGTCAAACTATTTTCCAAAGTACCAAAAGAAACAGTGGATGGAAACTAACCAAAGAGGGAAGCAACCTAGAACTAAAGAGAAAATTCCTAATGATTACAGTAATCGACCAATGGAATAGCTTGTCTTCAGAGGTTTTCGGTGTTCTATCTGGAGGCTTTCAAAAAGAGATTCGACGGCCACTTGTCTGAAATAGTAGAGCAGAGGGTTGGGCTAGAAGACTTTCAAAGTCCCTTCCAACTCTTATTATTCTGTTATATGTTGCATTCATCTTAATTACAACGAGTCTATCCAATAATTGCTGTACTAAGAATGTGTATTGACCCAAGTCAACAAGAGAATTTCATGGTTGAATGCAAATGTGAACATGAATCTCAGTAATCTTCAGTGTGTCAAGTAAATCATAATTACTCTAAGGTTATTTTAGCATTGCTAAAGGCATATTTGCTTTCTGCCATTAATGTATATGTTTTTCTTTTTTCATACCTTCTACAGCCATTTTAAAAACAGTAAAGTTGCCCTTTTCTTTGAATCTTATAGATAAAGAGGATACCAATAAGAGCACTCCGGACAACAGAATAACAAGCAACATTAAAAAGGAAAGCAAATCAATCCAGAAATCAAAATGTTTTCCATTTCCTTCAGAAAACCCCAAAATTCTTCTCCTTCCCCAGCAGGTGATCAAGATGAGATTTTGAACTGGAAAAAGTAGACTATGCAGGACACATTATAGATACATTACACCACTAAAAAAACTGACTTATGACCATTTTTCACACTTACAACTACTGCAACAGCCCCATGGTCACATGATTTATATTTGAATGCTTGACAGCTATGATGGTTGTCGTGTTCTAGGGTCATGTGATCTCCTTTTGCAACTGCACAGACATGTTTATTGTGGGAAACATGCATGTTTCAAATCGCAATGGAGTATGCATGAAATGATCCACAATGGAGAAAAGAAGTTTATGTGGCCAAAACTTTAGTCACAACAGCTCTCTTGTAGTTCATGGAAGGACCCACATAGAAGCCCTACAATGGCTCCCAATGTAGTGAGCATGGCAACTTGGTGATACATTAGAGAACTTACACCAGGGAGAAACCCTTTGAAAGCTCTGATTGTGGGAAAAGTTTCAGTCAGAACTCCGGTGTGGTGATACACTAGAAAATGTACACAAAAAAGAAATCATATGTGTGTTCTGATTGCGGGAAATGTTTCAGTGGGAATTCCAAGTTGGTGATACACCAGAGGACTCACACAGGAGAGAAACCCTTTGAATGTCCTGATTGTGGGAAATGTTTCAGTAAGAATTCCAACATGGTGATTCACCAAAGGACTCACACAGGAGAGAAACCCTTTGAATGTCCCAATTGTGGTAAATGTTTCAGTAAGAAGTCCAACATGGTGATTCACCAAAGGACTCACACAGGAGAGAAACCTTTTGAATGTTCTGATTGTGGCAAATGTTTTAGTTGGAATTCCCAACTGTTGGTACACCAGAGGATTCACACAGGGGAGAAACCCTTTGAATGTGCTCTTTGTGGGAAAAGTTTCAGTCACAAATCCCAACTGGTTGTACACCAGAGGACTCATACAGGAGAGAAACCATTTCAATGTGCTCTTTGTGGGAAAAGTTTCAGACAGAATTCCGAACTGGAGATACACTGGAGGACTCATACAGGAGAGAAACCATATGAGTGTCTGGTTTGTGGAAAACGTTTCATTGACAATTCCAGCCTGGGGAGACACCAGAGGACTCACACAGCAGAGAAACCCTTTGAATGTTCTGATTGTGGCAAATGTTTTATTTGGAATTCCCATTTGGTTAAACACCAGAGGACTCACACAGGAGAGAAACCCTTTGAATGTCCTGTATGTGGTAACAGTTTCAGTCAGAAGTCACACCTGGTGACACACCAGAGTACTCACACAGGAGAGAAACCCTTTGAATGTGCTCTTTGTGGGAAAAGTTTCAGTCACAATTCCCAACTGTTGGTACACCAGAGGATTCACACAGGGGAGAAACCCTTTGAATGTGCTCTTTGTGGGAAAAGTTTCAGTCACAATTCCCAACTGTTGGTACACCAGAGGATTCACACAGGGGAGAAACCTTTTAAATGTGCTCTTTGTGGGAAAAGTTTCAGACACAACTACAGCCTAGTGATTCACCAGAGGACTCACACAGGGGAGAAACCTTTTAAATGTGCTCTTTGTGGGAAAAGTTTCAGACACAACTACAGCCTAGTGATTCACCAGGGGACTCACACAGGAGAGAAACCATTTGAATGTGCTCTTTGTGGGAAAAGTTTCAGACACAACTACAGCCTAGTGATTCACCAGAGGACTCACACAGGAGAGAAACCATTTCAATGTGCTCTTTGTGGGAAAAGTTTCAGAGAGAATTCCGAACTGGTGATACACCGGAGGACTCACACAGGAGAGAAACCATATGAGTGTCCGGTTTGTGGGGAATGTTTCATTAATAAATTCCAGTTCATCAGTCACCAGAGGATTCACACAGGAGATAAACCCTTTGAATGCCCTTTCTGTGGAAAAAGGTTTAGTCACAAAAGCCTCCTGGTGATACACAAGAGGACTCACAGAGGAGAGAAACCATATGAGTGTCCTGGTTGTGGCAAAAATTTCCGTCACAAGTCCCAAATGGTGATACACCAGAGGACTCACACAGGCGAGAAACCGTTTGAATGTCCTGATTGTGGGAAAAGGTTCAGTGACAAAAGCCACCTGAGGATGCACCAGAGGACTCACACAGGAGAGAAACCGTATGAATGTCCTGTTTGTGGCAAAAAATTCTGTCAGAAGTCCCAAATGGTGATGCACCAGAGGATTCACACAGGAGAGAAACCGTATGAATGTCCTGTGTGTGGCAAAAAATTCTGTCAGAAGTCCCAAATGGTGATACACCAGAGGATTCACACAGGCGAGAAACCATTTGAATGTCCTGATTGTGGGAAAAGGTTTAGTAACAAAAGCTGCCTGGTGATACACCAGAGGATTCACACAGGCGAGAAACACTTTGAATGTCCCGATTGTGGGAAAAGTTTCATTACAAAATTGCAGCTCACAAATCACCAGAGGACACACACAGGAGAAAAACCTTTTGAATGTCTTGACTGTGGGAAAAGGTATAGTCGTACTTCCAGCCTGGTGAAACACAAGAGGACTCACACAGGAGGGAAATCATACCAGTGTCCATATTGTGGGGAATGTTTCATTAGAAAATTCCAGTTCATGAGTCACCAGAAGATTCACACAGGAGATAAACCCTTTGAATGCCCTTTCTGTGGGAAAAGGTTCAGTCACAAAAGCCACCTAGTGATACACCAGAGGACTCACACAGGCGAGAAACCATATGAGTGTCCTGTTTGTGGCAAAAAATTCCGTCAGAGTTCCCAAATGATGAAACATCAGAAGACTCATACAGATGAGAAACTGTATGAGTGTTCTGTTTGTGGCAAAAATTTCTGTCAGAAGTCCCAAATGGTGATACACCAGAGGATTCACATAGGCGAAAAACGCTTTGAATGTCCTGATTGTGGGGAAAGTTTCATTACAAAATTGCAGCTCACAAATCACCAGAGGACACACAGGAGAGAAACCTTTTGAATGTCCTGACTGTGGGAAAAGGTTTAGTTGTACTTCCAGCCTGGTGAAACATCAGAGGACTCACACAGGAGAGAAACCGTATTAGTGTCCTGTTTGTGGCAAAAGTTTCAGTCAGAATTCTCAACTGGTGAGAGAAACACTTTGAATGCCCTGATTGTGAGAAATTTTTTCATTTCAATTGAAACCTGGTGAAACACTAGAGCAGTGGTTCTCAACCTTCCTAATGCCACGACCCTTTAATACAGTTCCTCATGTTGTGGTGACCCCCAACCAGGGGTGGGTTCTAATTTTTTTTACTAACGGTTCTGTGGGTGTGGCTTATTTTGTGGGCGTGGCTTGGAGGTCATGTGACTGGGTGGCCATGGCTATGTGTATAGCAACTACTCAGAGGGCTGAAAAAAGTCATTTCTGACAGGTCCTCGGACTTTTGACTGGTCCTCACACTTATGACCATCCTCACATTTATGCCTGTGCAGCATTCTTAACAACCATGTCACTCATTTCACAACTGCTTCTCTTCACCATGGTGATAAGATAGGGCAAAAAACGTAAAATGTGAGGACAGTCGTAAATTCGAGGACTGGTCAAAAGTGCGAGGACCAGTCAAAAATAACTTTTTCAGCCCTCTGAGTAGTCCATATGCATAAAAGGATACAGCAATAGAGAGGGATGAAGGAAGGGAAGGGAAATTAGAGTAGGAGTGAGGGTAAGAGAGGGAGGAAGAGAGGAGGAGAAGGAGAAAGGAAGAGGAAGTAGGGAGAAGAAGAGGGGGGGAAGAGAAAGTAAGAAGGAAAGAAAAGAGAGGTGGTAGGTTTGAGGAGAAAGATTGCTGTACAATAAAAAAGATGAAAGGGAAGAAAGCCAACCCCAAACAAATATAAAGATATTAAGATAAAGAATGAATTGTTAAACTTTAAAGAATAAAAGAGAACAAATAGGAATAAATAGCAATAATTAGAAACACACATACAACGTATTTTCTTTGAACAGAGTATTTGGCCGGTTCACAAATTTAAACAGTTGTAGGAGGTTAGCACCCACCCCTTTCCTAGAAGAATGAAATATTAAAAAGGCAGAATATTATATTTCCCTGGATGAGAAATGGAGAAGCATATTTTACAGACAAAGCAGCTCCCACCTTCCTGCCCCCCACCCTTTGTTAATGGGCCAGAGGCAGAAAGTCTATCCTTTGTCAAAGGACATTTGTAACACAATAGCAACAGAAACTAACACAATGGGCCCCATATAGCAACCGAAACTCACCACATGTGACCTGGGAAGCACATGTGACCATCAGCCAGCAAGGCTAGCTAAGACCCCCCACCCTCTGGGAGTCTGACAACCAATCGGGATACTCTTTCGGGGTCCCAAGAAATGTAAAGCCAGAGAGAGCATAAAAACCATAGGATTTACTGTATCTGCCCCTTTTCTGTTCAGGAACTCAAGCCATGTGATCCTGTCCACCATTAAACCATCTTTCCAAGCAGTCTCCATGTTTCCAGTGTCTTTTTCCCCACTTGGAGCAGAACCCAGAAGGATAGTTCTTCCAACACAGTGTTTAGTCATTTCAATTAAATTTACAATTTCTATATTTCCTTTTTACCATATTTATTCCTCATCTATTTTTTAAAAAAAACCAATATTACCCTTCATCCTCATCTCTAATCTTAATCAAATTCAATTTTTCCCTTCTATTCTATATTATACCCCTTCATGTTGTCATCTATTTTTATATCCATCCTCACATTGGTTAATTATGTAATTATGTAATACAGTTGTTTAATACAAATTCAACATTTTAATATAAATCAATTAGTTATATAACTATCTTTGTTGTATATTAATCAATATGAACATGAATATTCCAATTATTTCCATGCAACCCAATTTCTTACAAATTAATTAATTATATTTACCAATAATAATAAACCAAATAATTTCCCCCATATATTCCTCCAAACCACAACTTAACCATTTCTGCTTTCAACACAATATACAATTAATAGTATCTCAATTATTACAATTCCCTAGTTAAATAGAGCTTTTTTTCTTTTGTGTTTTAAAATCTTGAACCTCCTCTTTTGCCCTAAATTTCCCATTGTTTGCAGTTTTGCACCTACCTTTTTTGGTGAAGAAAAAGAAAAAGAAATCTCTCTGCCTCATTTTGTCACGTTGCAGCAAAGACCTTGCTTTACTTTCAATTTCGCTTTTTCAGCATAGCTAGGGGAAAAAAAATCTGCTCCAGGAATTTACCTCTTTGCAGCTAGCTAGCAAAAGAGCCCTCCGCAAAACAGCTGAGAGTAGGGCGGCTCTTTGAAGCCCCGCGGCAAGAATTTAAAGTTTTTTTCCCTCTAGCCATCAGCTGGGACTCCAGAGGCAGCAATAGATTGGGAGTGGGCAGGGTAAGCGAATGGCAACCGACGATCAACAGAGGCAGAGGGTGAGGGTGAGTGAAGGCGTGGGGGGGGCGAGAGAGGGCTTTGGCAACCCCTGTGAAATGGCCATTCGACTTCCAAAGGAGTCGCGACCCCCAGGTTGAGAACTGCTGCACTAGAGGACTCGCATGGGAGAGACCTCTCAAATGTTCAGTCTGTGGACAGTACTTTAGGGCAAAGTAACTCCTTATTGCATACAATAAAAATTCATATGCGGCAAAAGTTGATGAGTTTGGAGAAGGTTTGAATTTAATTTCTGAACTCCCATTGAGTGTGTAGATGAGAATGACTCCGAATACTGTCCTGATCCTTTTTAGTCAACACATCTCGGGTTTAGACCTGTAGTTGGAAAGAAAACATGTGGAAATTTGTTTGATAAATGTGAACTACCTGTTTCTGGATATCATGTATTTATTGTGAAACTCCACCATGTGGAGTTTTCGTCTTCTACCTTCTTGTCCTCCAGATTATGAGTGCCACATTTCCCCATGGATCCTTTTTCTCACGAAACAACACAGGGGCAGCCACTCATGGCCTACCTGGTTGGATGAAGCCCTGCTTTAGATTTTTGTCAATAAAGGCTAGTAGTTCCTCCAGCTGTCACAGGGTCATCGAGTAGATCTTTGGCTTAGGGAGTTTCACCCCCAGGAGGATTTCTTTGCTGCAGTCTGTGGAGTAATAGGATGGGAGCACATTCAAGCCGCTCTTACTGAATGCCTCCCTGAGGTCCCAGTATCCTTTTGGGATTTTCTCCTCACCATCTAGGCACTTGCTCACCGTAGCCCCTAGCTCCCTCGTAACCTTGGCTCTGGGTGGAGTTTTGGCCCCCACTTCTTCCTGGCTATGTGGAATGGATTCATAAAAGCCCCCTCCTCCAATTCATATGAGGGTTCCATTTTTGGAGCCAGGCTAATCCAAGCAAGAGGGGTCGCTCCATTCCGAGGACTACAATGAAACTCAGTTCAGGGTTCCCCCATCCACTGGTTCAGTTACAAAGTGAGCTGGAACCTCCCCCAGCTACCGACCCATCTAGCTAGCAAAATGCTATGGGCACCTTCAGTGTTCTCAGTCTCAGTCCCAGTTTCTCTACCACCTTGGGCCTAATCACACATCTCATACACACTGAGTCCACAAGGTCTAGCATCTTCCCCTGGGTGACAGACGAGGGCACCAGCAGCTCCACCGGGATGGTCATGGGCGCCACTTGCTGACTTACCAGGGGTCGGAGTCAGTCTCACTCTCCTCTGGGGTGGTCAGAGTTCACAGCTCCTGGCCAGGAGGGATGAACTCAATGACCTCTACCCCTTTCAGCGCTGTTTCATGGAGCTTGACTGGCTGTTTCACAGGCTTCCTACCCCCAACAGTTGTCAGCTTGGAGCTTGGCTTGGGGGGCAATCAGCTGCTCGGTGCCCCTCCTTCCCACAGTTGAAGCATGCCATGGACCTCAGTTTGGCTGCTGGCCTGCCTTTGGCAGCTCTCGGGGCCTCTTTAAGGGCAGAGGGGGAAGGCTTGCTTCAACTTGACTTCCACGGTGCCAATCTCTAGCCAGATTGATTTCCACCTCGGCTACCAACACATACCAGCTCTGAAGGTCTTGGGCTCCCCGGGAGATGCAGCTCTGATCGATGTCTTCATTAAACCCATCTTTGTAGCACTCCATCAGGACTTCTGGGGACCAGCCATGCATGTGGCAGGCCAACTCACGAAACTCCTGGGTGTATTCTGCTACTGATTTATGGTCGTCTTCCTCGTCCTAGTCTTGCGTTCAGCTAGAGAATCCTCAAACCACATGCTGAGTGCCATCATAAACTGGTTGTAATCCCTCAGCTGAGGGGCATCGTTGTGAAGAGTCACCATCCAATCTGCTGTGGCCCCTTCCAGGGCCATGGTGACACATCTCACTTTGGCTACCTCTGAAGCAAAGTTCTCTCCATATTCCTGCATGTGATTCCAAACTTGAGCTAGGAAGAATCCCAGCAACCATCTGGCTCGGACCGTTTTCTCTTTGAGCTGCAGCTCCTCCAGCCACTCCGTCTCCTCATGGCAGAGATGTGGCTGGGGGGGGGGAGGTTGACCCCAAGGCTCTCCAGTCTTCCTGGTTGCTCCCGTGGGTTGACATTGTGTGCTCAGCCCCCTCAGTGGACTAGGTCTCCAGGTTGGCCGATAAAGCAGATCTTGCTTAATGCCAGGCCTGCCTCTGTTCAAAACCCAAGAAAGAAAACCCCCGACTCCATTGAGGTAGTGAAGAGGTACTTTTATTGAGTTTGAAATTATGGCGGAGAAAGCAAAGCAAGATCTGATTCAAAAGCACAAAAGTTACAAGTTGAAAGTTTCCCCAAAACGCTTCCCCCCACCCAGGGACCCAGGCTGAATGTTCCTGGGGGGAATGTTGATCCCATAATACTATATAATACCATGTGAAACTCATCTTCAGGTCTTTTAGTCCATCTGGAATTACAGGACGGTTGGCCTTGCTTAGTGTAAACAACTCCACTCAGCAGTGCAATAGTTCTTGAGAGCAAACCTCCCTTTTAGTTCACATGGGTCTTCACCACACCAGCTCACTTCCCAAACCTAAATGCCATGCCCCGCCCTGCCCCACCATTACTATGACAGCCGATAGCAAGCATGCATCAAAGGAAAAACCCATGGTGGAGATCCAGCTTGTAGTGGAATGGAAGGACTAAAAAACATTCCCAGGCCAGTCAGAGACAGTTTATTGCGCAAGGTTCAGAGCCAGATTTGTACCTGAAGCTTTGAACAAAGAAAGAACTCTGATACAATGGTTTTTATACATTTCTAAGACAAAGATCATACATTTTCATTTTCATTTTCATTTACAGTGAGATCATACATTTTCCATATATGGTTAATCATGAGATCATACATCCGATTTTCCTTCTATGGTTACATATACTGTTAATAAGTTCATCTAATTACTTAAGGCATTAATCTTAGTTTACAAAATTATCTTAGCCACACAACTTTTCTTAAGTGCTCGGAGTTGCTAATGGGAGAGTTACTACTATCCTTGGGTAAATTCATTGGATTAAGTAACTCTTTGTAACATATAGGTCTTTGTGTCATTCACAGTCAGGTCACTCAGATGTTTTTCCATATAGCAGTCCTTTCCGTGACATCTAGGTCTCAGAAGATATATTACCACTTAAAGGGGTTTAGCTGTTTGTTAATGTAATTTCCAACAAGCACTTTCCTCTCTTATAATAATGTGAATAGATAGGGTCTCTCAGAGTTCATGTATCCAAGCACGTCTTCCCCTTATAATAATGTGAATAGAGAGGGTCCCCCAGAGCCCATATATCTGACTCTGTATGATTCCTATTTTATTCACATTATTTCTTTTATCTACATTATTCTTTATTTGCTATTTACCTCAAGTTGACAGGATCCCTGTAATACTTAGGCCTGACTCCCACGCTACCAGGCATCACAGCCTCCTCCTCCTCTATAACTTTTGAAGATCTCTGAACCTCATGTGGGGAAAGAGGGCAGGGCATGCATCTCTGGGCTCCATGACTATGTCGTGGAAACAGCTGTTACTTTGACTGTGCCCAGGATTCATCCCTGGGCCATGCAGGGGATTTGTGGAAGCAGCTGCCATTTTGCCATGCCTGCCTCTACGTCAATATGGTGGCTGCTTCTGAGTCACAGAGTGGGACAAGCTTCTGTTTTGCTACCTTAACACTTTGTAGACTATGTTAAGGAGTTGTGAGTGCATTGAAAATGGTGGCTGTCTCCGGGAGACCTCCAAACACAGGCCATGTGTCCCTGTGGTGCATGAGAAAATAAATAGCCCTTGTGCTAGTGTTGTGCTGCAGCTGCCAAAAAAAGCAAATGCAGTCCTAGGCTGCATCAACAGAGGAATAATGTCAAGAAAACAAGAAGATAAGAGAATTGCTTTACACAGTGCTGGTGATACCACACTTGGAATACTGTGTCAAGTTCTGGTCACCATGATATAAAAATATTGTTGTGACCCTGGAAAGTGTGCAGAGAAGAGCAACAAAGATGAGAAAAAGTCATTAGGAGGGACATGATAGCTGTCTTTCAGTACTTGAGTGTCTGTCACAAGAGTGGATTGACTTATTCTCTAGGGCACCAGACGGAAGGGTGCGCACAAGCGGGGATACCCTCAAGCGAGTGGCCAGGCTCAGCCAAAGCACATCGAAGGTGCAGAGCAGGGGATTGATTGGCTGACGGGCGAGAGTTTTGGCGAGGGTGCTCTGGCTTTCTCCGAGCCTGATTCCCGGGGTGGGCATGTGAGGTTCGGCGAGGCCAGCCCCCTTTTCCTGCTGCCCTGAGCTGAGCTGAGGGGCAGCGGCAAAAGGATGCTGGCCTGCCGAACCTCGCACCCCCACCCCTGGGATCAGGCTCAGAGAAAGCTGGAGTGCCCTCACCAAAGATGCTCACCCATCACCCAGTCAACCCGCCTGCTCTATTCCTTCGCTGCGCTTTGGCTGAACTTGGCCGTTCACTTGCAGACGGTATCCCCGCTTGTGCGTGAGAGAGGGTATCCTCGCTTGTATGCATGTGTGTGAGAGAGAAAGAAATGAGAGAGACAAAAAGGGAGAAAAAGAGAAATAAGAAAATGATGGAGAGAGAGAATGAGAGAGAGGAAAAAGAAACGAGAGAGAGAGAAGGGGGAGAAAGAAAGAGAAATGAGAGAGAGCTGGTGGGAGAGAATAAGAGAGGGAAAAGAGGGAAACAAATGAGAGAGAGAAGGGGAAGAAAGAAAGAGAAAGAACGGAGAGGAAAAAGAAAAACAAATGAGACGGAAAGAGAGGGAGGGAGGGAGAAATGAGAGAAAAGGGGAGAAAAAGGGAAATGAGAAAATGATGGGAGAGAATGAGAGGAAAAAAAGGTGGGAGAGAGAAGGGGGAGAGAGAGGGAGAGAGAAATGAGAGAGCTAGAGAGAGGGAAAAGAGGGAAACAAATGAGAGAGAGAAGGGGGAGAGAAAGAAAAAAGAGAGGGAGAGGAAAAAGAGAAAAATAGAAATGGGAGGGAGAGAGAGAGAGAGAGAGAGAGACCCATTTCCCACAGAAAACACCGGGAGCCACAAAACCTGGGTAGGCATGACTGGAGGGTCAGGTGACTTGGTGGGAGTGACATTGAGTTGGCCACACCCACCCAGGTTTTGTGGTTCCTGGTCTTTTCTCTGGGAAACGGGTCCAAATGGCTCTTTAAGTGTTTAAGGTTGTAGACCCCTGGCCTAGACATACCTAGATCCTTTAACCCATCATCATATGGAGGGGGAAGGTTTGGCATGGGTGGCCTGGCTGAAGGGCCTTCAGATAAGCCAATGCGGGGCCTTGGGGCAGCTCTGCAGCCCATGCCTTGCTTTGTCCTCCATCACCACCACCTCACCACCTTGCTTCGTTCTTCTTTGCAACGTGCAGGCTCTCACAGTAAGGAGAATTGCAGGCAATTCTTGTTACTGTGAGAGGCTGCACATTGCTTCTGGGCAGGGGAAGCTTGGTCCTCTTACCCAGTTCCCCTCCACCGTTTCTCTTTTTCTCTCTCTCTATCGCTCACACACACAGAGAGATATTTGATCTCTTGAAGTGCCGCACACTTTTCGCCCTGGAAAAGAAATGGGTGAAAAGTGTTTGGGTGCCCAATAAATGCTAGCCTGCATTGCCAAATGTTTGGGCTGCTGAGCACTGGCCTGTACACCTGTTCGGTGCTGCAGGGGCCAGGGTACAGTTACACCAAGCCACACACTTTTCGGGCCCTGGCCCTGTGGGTGCTGCAGCTCTCGTGCCAGCTCTGCAAGGCAAGCAAGCATAGGGCTGCCCCAGTTGCCTGTGGTGGTTCTGCAACCACCTCGCCTTCCGCCCAGCACAGCTCACCGCCAAGCCCCGGTTGCTACCCAGCAGCCTTCCCTACCTTTTGCTGTCACTCATGCCCTCATCACTTCCCGCCTGGACTACTGTAATGCTCTCTACATGGGGCTCCCCTTGAGGAGCACCCAGAAGCTCCAACTGGTTCAGAATGCGGCCGCGTAGGTGGTTATGGGAGCGACATGGCACTCCCATGTAACACCTCTCCTGCATGAGCTGCACTGGCTCCCGGTGGTCTTCTGGGTGCGTTTCAAGGTATTGGTTACCACCTTTAGAGCGCTCCATGGCTTAGGAACTGGGTACTTAGAAGACCGCCTTCTGCCACTGGTAGCCTCTCACCGATCAGTACAGAGAGGGGCTCCTCAGGGTGCCGCCGGTCAAAGTGTTGACTGGCGGCCCCCAGGGGTAGAGCCTTCTCTGTGGGGGCACCTGCCCTTTGGAACGAGCTCCCCCCGGAGATACGGAGGATTTACGCACTTTCCACCATGCCCTCAAAACTTTTTTATTCCAACAAGCTGGGCTGACCGAAACTCTTTTTAACTGTTCAATTTTAATTTGCTTTTAAAAAAAGGGGTGTTTTAATTAGTATGGGCCAAATTTGTTTAATATGTTTTAAATTGTTTTTTAAATTTTATATTGTATGTGTTTTATCTTTGGCTGTTCACCGCCCTGAGTCCTTCGGGAGAAGGGCGGTATATAAATTCAAAGTAAACTAAACTAAACCAAACTACAGTACCTCACACACAGCTGGCCTGAGAGCTGCAGCACCCACCCAGGATTGTAGCCTGGCACCTGCAGCACCATGTAGGCCGGAGTTCCCTGTCCAGCCGGTGAGCAGTTCCCAGGACTGCCTGATTCTCAACCAGCTGGCTGCATGGTAGGAGGGGGCTTCCTGGCCACCTGAAAGAGGGGCTGGGTTGCGTAAAGGGGCTTTCCCCGCTCCCAAGACCCTCTCAAGCACCGGGCTGCAGTCCCCACCCCAGGGAGCCTCAATTAGGGCCAAGCCCTTGACAACCAATTGAGGTAAAACTGTTCTTGAAGGAGGCGTGAGATGCGTGGGACCTCCTGCTGCTTTTGCAGCCTCAATCAGCTGCAAAAGCAGCCACAATTCTTGCCGTCTCTTCTCCCCACTTCGCCGGGCATGGCAAGGTTTCCTTCCCCTCGCTTCTTCCCCTCCCCACCCCTCACCTGCCATCCCTAATTGTGCCCCAAAATAATAAGACCCCCAGAAAAGAAGGCCAAGCCCTTACTTCGGGATTCAAAAAAAATATAAGACAGGTCTTATTTTCGGGAAAACATGGTAGATGCAGTTCCATTGAGGATTACCCACTATCTTCAAAAGTGTTGGTTTTTCCCCCAAGTTTGATGTCATCTGCAAATTTGATCAGTTCTAGACCTTCATCTAAATCATTTATGAAGACGTTGAAATGTGCTGAGCCCAAGACCAAACCTTGAGGTACCCAACTGCATGCTTCCCTCAGTGTAGATACAGTTCCATTTAGGATTACCCACCGAGTTTGTTTGGTCAGCCAATTGCAAATCCAACTGTTGATGGTACTGTGTCTCCCACATTGTTCTACCATACCAAGAAGTAGGTTGTGGTGTCAAGTGTCTTGATGAAGTCCACGAATAGTATCTCCACAGCATTTCTCTCATTCATAATTTAGTTATTTAAAAAAATGCAGCTCGCATCATCAGAGGGACAGAGAGTCGATTGAAATTGAAAAAATTAAATGTATCAGGAGGAGGGAAGGGAAATTGAGGGAGACAGATTGGTCATAGAGATGCAGAATGCATGAGAGACAGATTACAGGTAGCTGAACAATTGTAGTGTGTTAGAAACCCACTGTGAGGAAATCAAGACTTGAGAAAAGGGCTTTATGTTGCCTTTTTATTCTTAAATTTATTTGTTATTAAAACTTGTTGCACATCTCGCAGTTTGAGGTGACTCTGAGCGTCTTGCCTTGCCCTAATGTTCATAGCAACACTGACAATACCCGTTTTTTCCCTTGTCAAAAGCTACTGAAAATTCTTAATGCGTTTTTAAAATTGAAACATTTTCCAGTCTACAATTTTTTCTCAAATTGCCACCACCAAGGGAGATGCAACAAATACGACAGGAATATGGTGCTGCTACCACCCAGCAGCCATCAAAGGGTAACAATTGGGCACTTCCAAGAAAAAGAGTTCCTAGCAGGAGTTGCTAATAAACCTGGAGATGCTGTAATCAAAACCATGATTCCTTTTCTCCTCAACTCAATATTCCTACAGGTCTTCTCCATCAGGTTCATCTGCAAGGCAGAACAGCCTCTACATGTGAAATTTTATACTGCTTTTTTTCACTGGGCCTTGGGCCAACTCCCCACACCCGTCACCCGTCGTACACTTGCATTTTGAAGATCTCCTGGGGGCAGCTGTCATTTTCAGTGCACCCAGAATTCTTTACGGTGGTCTGCACAGTGTTAAGGTAGCAAAACAGAGCAGTTTCTCCCTCTCCAATATTACAATTACCCAAAAGCAGCTGACATTTTGGCCCCGAGGCAGTTGTGTCAAAATGGCAGCTGCTTCCACAAGTCCACTGCATGGCGCAGGGATGAATACTGGGCACACTGAAAATAGCAGTTGCTTCCACAACACAGTCATACCACCCTGGGATGAGTGGCTTGCCCATTTTCCCCAACAAGGTAAGGAGTTGTCGTCTGTGAGGCCTGTTGGGGTGGGAGTCAGGCCTAAGGACTGCAGGGACCAAGCGGGAGTAAAAAAGCCTGTTGGGACCCCCAAGGGCAGAGGGGGGAGGACCCCACAGAGGGGTAGAGATGGATTTTGGAATGAAAGCCTGGGACTGCGCTATGCCTCCAACTCTGATAGTCATTTTTCTGCTGAACAACTTGCATATTTGTTTAACAGCTTTATCAGGAGGAGAACGGGTGGGGTTAGTTAAGCAAAGCAGTCTCGTTTAATGGTCGTTGCAACATACAACCATAATTGGCAGGCCCCACTAGAGTCAGCTTGTATGGTGGCTGGGGAATTGTGGTGCTCAAAATCTGAAGGACACTTAGGTAGAAGCTGGAAACTCCACCTGTGGGAATTCCATAATCAATATACAAAAAAACCCCACCCAAAAGCCTTTTTGAGGAATTCCACAACTTCTCCAAAAGGAAACAGGTAGTTAGCCTTTATCAAAGTAACATTTTCCATTTTTTTCTCTCCAATTATAGGTCTAATCTTGAGATGTGTTGACTAAAAAGCATTAGGCCAGAATTCAAAGAGTCCATTTCTCACCTACACTCCCAATGGGAAATCAGAAATGAAATTCAAGCCTTCTCTAAATTCAGCTACTTTTGCCTCATCTACTCATCTACTAAACTTCTTCCTCCTGATGCTCCAAAAGCAGAGCGGTAAGAAAAACTGAATGAGACAAGCACCCCCTGCTCAGCTTCGCTGAGTCACTGGAGCTGCCTGCTCAGGAAACTGGATCCGCTTTTGGAGTGTCTGGCAGACTTGGTGAGCCTGAAGGAGCCCGAGGCTGTACGCCCAGAGGCTTCTCTTCTCCACGCTAAAAGCTCTTGCAAATGGACGGAAGGCTTCGGGGGAGTGACCTCATGTTGCTTAAGGGTTTTAATCCCTTTGCAAAAGCTTTGGGTGAGAAGCCTGAAGGAACACAAAACTACACCCCAAAGGCTTCACTTCTCTCTTGCACGAGTGAAGGTGTGCGCGCACACACATGTGCCAGCTCACCAATCGCAGGTCCTGGTTCCTCTCTCCCCAGCGCCGGGCCGCCAAGTTGCAAAGGTTGGGGACCACTCCTCTGGTGTTACCAACAGGTCAGAATTCTGACTGAAACTTCTCGCACACTCTGAACACTCATATGATTGCCAACCCCTGTGAATCCACTGGTGTATCATCAGGTTGGAATTTCGTGTGAAACAATTCCCATAATCAGGACATTAATACAGTTTCTCCCTGAGGTGAGTCCCCTAGTCTATCACCAAGTTAGAATTATGAGTGAAACTTATTCCACACACTGGAGACTTATGGTTTCTCTCCAGTGGTGTTTCAGCAGCTTAGAATGCTGAGTTTCCCCGCACTTTAGAATCTCATGTCATTTGTCTACTTGTGAGTTTTCTGGTGTATCACCAGGTTGGAATTCTGACTAAACCTTTTCCCACATTCTGGACACTGATACGGTTTTTCTCCTGTGTGAGTCCTCTGGTGTGTCACCAGGCTGGAATTCTGACTAAACCTTTTCCCACATTCTGGACACTGATACGGTTTTTCTCCTGTGTGAGTCCTCTGGTGTGTCACTAGGCTGGAATTCTGACTAAACCTTTTCCCACAGTCAGGACAATCATACAGTTTCTCTCCTATATGAATCCTCTGATGGGTTACCAGGTGGGAATTCTGACTGAAACTTTTGCTACACTCTGGACACTTATAAGGTTTCTCTCCTGTGTGAGTCCTCTGGTGTGTCACTAGGCTGGAATTCTTACTGAAACTTTTCCCACAGTCTGGACACTCATACGGTTTTTCTCCTGTGTGAGTCCTCTGGTGTGTCACTAGGCTGGAATTCTTACTGAAACTTTTTCCACACTCTGGACACTCGTATGGTTTTTCTCCTGTGTGAGTCCTCTGGTGGATTACCAGGCTGGAATTATACATGAATTTTTTCCCACACTCAGGACATTTATACGGGTTTTCCTTGTTATGAGTCCTCTGGTATACCACCATGCTGGAATTCTGACTGAAACGTTTTCCACTGTCTGGACACTCATACAGTTTCTCTCCTGTGTGAGTCCTCTGGTGTGTCACAAATCGGGAATTCTGACTGAAACTTTTCCCACACTCTGGACACTCATATCGTTTATCTCCTGTATGTGTCCTCTGATGTTTCATCTGCTTAGAACTGCTACTGAAACTTTTCCCACAATCTGGACACTGATACAGCTTCTTGCCTGTGTGAGTCCTCTGGTGTGTCATCAGGTGGGAATTCTGACTGAAACTTTTCCCACACTCCAGATATTTAAAGGGTTTCTCTCCTGTGTGAGTCCTCTGGTGACTTATGAGATGGGAGTTTCTAACGAATTTTTCCCCACAAACTGGACATTCACGCACTTTCTCCCTGGTGCGAGTCCTGTGATGTATCACCAAATTGCTGGCTTGCTAAAGTATTTACCAGAGTGAGAGCATTTGTAGGGCATCTGTCCTATATGTGTCCATCCATCAACAAGAGGAGAGCTATTCAGACTAAATCTTTTGTCACATTTGTAGCATTTCTATGGCTTTTCAAAGTAGTGCTTTTTGATTCAAGTTGTTTTTTTCCTCACAGGTGAGGCCTGTTACTGTCTTTTCTATGTGGCTGTCTAATTGACCTTTTCTCCCCACCGACTTCCAGATATTTCCTTCTTTTTCTAAATAAAAAATAGTGTTCCTTGACTGTTCATGTAAGTTTTGTATACTCTACTTTTTCGAGCTTGAAATCCCTTCTTGATTTTCTCTCGTTTCTCTCTCATCGGCTGAGGAAGATGAAGAATTGTGTGGCTTTGTGTAGGAAATGAAAAATATCTTGATTTCTGGCTTGATTTTCTTTCTTTTTCAATGTTGCTTGTTATTCTATGTTGTCCAGAGTGCTCTTATTGCTATCTCTTTGTCTATAAGAGTCAAAAAAAAGTGTAACTTTAATTGTTTATAAAATGGTTACAGATGATGTGAAAAAAGGAAAAAAAGTCTGCATTACAATGAATGCCCAAACATATCACAATACAAGAATAAACTCTTACATTAATTATGATTCATTTGACACGTGGCAGACTACCAAGATCCAAGTTCAAATACTCATTCAGTCATGAAATTCTCTTTTTGACTTGGGTCAGTAACAAATTCTTAGCAGTGCAAAGGGTTATTTATCATCAAATATATCTGGAAGTGCTGGGGTTAGGTTATATAATTACAGATATATCTGTACAGCGAGAAATACCAATACACACACCTATGAAGGTATATATGTGGAAACTCCATGCATTTTCAGTCTGTAAATTATCCCAAAATAATTACAATCAAAGTTTCTGAAATAATTTTAGAGATGTGAGGGCTTTAACTGATGATAAGCAAATCACTGTGGATTGTTAAAAGCCTTGGTGGTGCAGCAGACTAAAGTGCTATTATGTAGCACCAGCTGCCTGCAATTACTGCAAGTTCAAATCTCACCAGGCTCAAGGTTGATTCAGCCTTCCATCCTTTCGAGGTAGGTAAAATGAGACCCAGATTGTGGGGGCAATAAGCTGACTTTGTATAAAAAAAGAACACCGCTTGTGGGGTGCCGAAAGCCCTACTAAGCAGGTATATACAAAAGTATGAAGGCTATTGCTTAATGCATTGTAAACCACCCTGAGTCTCCGGAGAAGGGCGGCATATAAATCGAACCATAAATAAATAAATTCCACATGACTGTGACTTCCAATTTGCTGCTGACATCTACACTGATTTTGCTTGTCAGAAATTAACCAGGAAGGTCACAAATGGGGATCTTGATTATAGGATGCTGCAACCATTGTAAATGTGAGTTGCAATTGCTGCAACTTGAACCTCGGGGAGCAAATAGTAAGCGAGGGCTGCCTATATACAATGGAACATCCCAAAGGCCTTCAATAACTATTTTTTCAAAAAATTCTAAATTCTTGATGAATGTATTTTATCCTCCTTATGTACACTGAGAGCATATACACCTAAGACAAATTCCTCGCGTCTCCAATCACACTTGGCCAATAAAGAATTCTATTCTATTCTATTCTATTCTATTCTATTCTATTCTATTCTATTCTATTCTATTCTATTCTATTCTATTCTATTCTATTCTATTCTATTCTATTCTATTCTATTCCCATTCCCATTCCCATTCCCATTCCATTTATCACAGAAGCCCCTTGATCTCTTTGTACAAAACAGCAGAACTTCTTCAGGGTAGATAAAAAGCCCATAAAACAACTAAAATTAAAATTAAAAAACCTTTGCAGACAGGGCTGTTCAGTTACATGGGCAGAGAGAAACTGGGACAGGGCCGGATTTAGATGAAAAGAGGCCCTAGGCTATTCCACTTATGAGGCCCTTTCACCTATAGTGAAAGTGTAATTTTAATTTTGCTAACAGTTTGAATGTAGGCCCCTCTTGATCTTGAGGCCCTAGGCTGAAGCCTAGTTAGCCTATAGGAAAATCCGGCCCTGGATGCAGCAGTCACCAAAAAGAGAATCTGGGCAGCTAAGAGAGGCAGATTCAAGTGCTGCATCTCCATAGCCGTCCTGAGTCTTCGGAGAGGGGCGGCATACAAATTTAATTAATAATAATTAATAAGCAAGCCCACCTGGACAGGGCTGCCCATTGGGCCACGCCCACCTGGACGCCTCTCAGGTCTCCATCACCCACCATTGAGATGCCACTGGGCTCCTCCTAACAGGGTTCCCGCCCTCGGAGGGAGCCCCTCCAGCCACGATCCCTCTGAGCCCAGATCCTCTTCCTCCCCTCCAGACCCTGGGAAGCGGATCCTCCCCAGCAGCCATGAGGGAACGGCGGTGCCGGAAAACACCAGGCGGCCTCACCCTGGGAGCCGATCTGCACCAAATGTTGGGCTGCGGGGAAGGAGAAGGGCTCGAAGGGAGGATTTTAAAGGGACCGGAGAGCCGTTTGCAGAAGCAGCAACCGAGGAGGAGGAGGAGGAGAAGCGGCGGCGCAGCGGTTCCCACGGGAGCAGAAAAGCTTGCAAGGAAAGGCGGAGAGTCGGAAGGGGAGGGGGGCGCAACTGGGGAAACCCCCACCTCGCTCTCCTTCCCTCCCCCAAGGAATCCCTCCTCCCTTCCCGCACCTGGGGATCCCCCCCTCCTCCCTTCTCCTGGTCCCCTCCCCCTCTCGCAGCGTCCTCGCCCACCTGGCGCCCCTCCCCGAGAGGGGATCTCCGCAGCCCTGGCTTAAGAAGCATTGGGAGACCAGGAAGGGGGGCAAGGAGGGGCCTGAAACTGGCTCCCATCCCCCCCTTTCCCCCTTTTTTGCCTCTTCTCTAGTCGCAAAAGCTCTCTGCGTTTAACTCCTTCACTGAAGCTCTGCAGGGAGGGGGCGACTGCAAACAATGCCAAAGACAGCCACCCCCAAGGAAAGCCCAAACCCGAGCAATGCCAAAGTCCCCCAACCGCCACAGCAAAAGATCTACACCCCGTCAAGGGAAGGCCAAAAGACCCAAAACAAGGGCCCAGATTAAGAAAAAGATAGTTGCATGTGCTAATCTGCATCTCTAAATGCGAATTAGGAATTCATCGCTAATGAAGATGGGAAATAGAATTTTTTTGTTTTTTTTAATTTGATTTATATGCCGCCCTTCTCCGGAGACTCAGGGCGGCTTACAATGCGTTTAGCAATAGCCTTCATACTTTTGTATATTTTATACAAAGTCAGCTTATTGCCCCCACAATAATTTACCCACCTTAGAAAGGATGGAAGGCTGAGTCAACCTTGAGCCTGGGGAGAATTGAACTCGCAGTAATTGCAGGCAGCTGGATGTTAAATGCTGCCTTAGGAGGCATTAGCCTCCTACACCACTCAGGCTCTGAGTGCTGCAGATGTCATTGGACTACAACTCCCACCATCCTTATGAGTGCATAAGGTTAGATATTGTATTCAGCAAATCGCAGTATCTTAATTCCGGGGTGAAGGATGGTGGGAGTTGTAGTCCAATGACATCTGCAAGAGAAGTCTGGTAGGGTCAGTCACTTTTCACTCATCCGTGTTTTGGGCTCTCATAGACTCACACGGCTCTCCTCCCAGAATTGTGGAGAATCCCTTGTTCTGAGTAGGAGGATCCACTTCCTGCCTTCAGTCTCCTCGGGGTTTTCATCTCTAAAATGAAGCTGCACCCAAAAAGAATTTGACGCCCCCTTTCCACCAATAGAGTTACATGATCCCCAAGGATAAAATAAAATTAAGCAGAAGAGCCATCAGACACCCCAACAAAGCTCTACATCACAATGCCAGCCTAAAGGAGGGCATTTCATGCAACCTCCTTTCCTAACTGCTATCAGCATTTGCAGTAATTTTCAGAGATTTTTAATGGAAAGGGATCTTGAAAATCAAGGGGAAGGAACAAGGTATAGTGTTTCCTTCTTGTTTGATTGGCAGCAACATATTTACCTGTTTAGTGCTAAAGGAGGTTTCAAGCAGCTGTTACTTATTTTAATCTCTGTACCTGTTGGAACCTCTGTTTGGTTGTATAGGAAGTTAGCACCCACCCCTTTCCTGGAAGAATGAAATATTTTAGGAAATATTAAAAAGGCAGAATATTATATTTCCCTGGATGAGAAATGGAGAAACATGTTTTAAAGACAAAGCAGCTTCCTGCCTCCCCCCCCCCCACACACACACCTTTGTTAATGGGCCAGAGGCAGAAACTCAGTCCTTTGTTAAAGGACCATAATCTGCAAAACAATAGGACCCATCTAGGACAGAAACTCATCACATGGCACCTGGGAAGATTACATCAGCCAGCAAGGCTAGCTAAGACCCCCACCCCTTGGGAGTCTGACAACCAATCAGGATACTCTTTCGGGGCCCCAGAAAGTTCAAAGCCAGAGAGAGCATAAAACCGGGGGACTCGCTGTATCTCGCCCCTTTTTTGTTCAGGAACTCAAGCCATGTGATCCTGTCCACCATTAAACCATCTTTCCAAGCAGTCTCCATGTTTCCAGTGTCTTTTTCCCTACTTGGAGCTGAACCCAGAAGGATATTCCTTCCAACAGTTGCTAATAGACTGCACTGAAGCTCCCTACTGTTTATAGTTTGGAGTCTCAGAAAGACAAGCCTTGGGAGAAGTACCCGGCCCTCAGGATTTCTGTTTACAGCTTGCTGGTAATTTTGGAACTCTACTCCTGCAAAAGGTGGGTTTTGAAAAGTATCTTTGGGGGAGCAGCTTGAGTGCTACATCTAAAATATCCAGTTTGTTCATACTTGACTTAGATGAAGAGATTGAAAGGGAACTCATCAAATTTTCAGACAACACCCAGTTGAGGGGAATAGCCAACACTTTACAGGGGTGTCAAACTGGCAGCCCATTAGCCAGATGCGTCACGTACAGACCACGCCTATCCCAGCTCCGCAAAGGGAAAAAATGTGATACGTCGTGATACATCACATCATCAAGTTTGACACCCATGCTTTAGAAGATAAGCCAAAGATTCAGAAAGATCTTGATACATGTGAGCACTGGGCCCTTTCCAGCAAAATGCAATTCAGTGGTGAGAAAAATAAGGTCTTACACTCAGGGAAGAAAAGCTAAATGCACACCTGTAGAAGAGGTTGCACCTGGCTCTAGAGCAGTAACTGTGACAGGGATCTAGAAATGCTTACATATGAGTTGGGGGTGTGATGTATGCCTAAAAAGTCAATGCAGTCCTAGTCTGCAGCAGCAGAGGAATAGTGTCAAGACCACATAAAGTGTTAGTACTGTGTTATACTGTATTGCTAAGACTACACTTTGAATACTGCATCCAAGTTTGGTCACCAGGATACAAAAAAGGTTTTCAGACTCTAGAAAAAGTGCAGAGAAGAACAAAAAAGACATTTACACATTTCACTATTTCACTTGGCTTAGCTGCAAAGGTTATTTGCTACAACTCTGAAAATGACTTGATAGCATGTAATAGTGAGAAGATCTGGCCAACGCCATAGTTTGAGATGGGACAAGCCTGTTTTTTGGCCTATCGCGAGATGGCAGTCAGATAGGCAGCATCTGGGAGTGGAAAGCCAACAGTACAATAGCGGCCTCTCTGGTTGAGCTTAAAGGAGTTAAAACCATCAAGTACTTTATTGCTAGAAAGGATGGAAGGAGAGGAGAAGGACAGAGGAACTTCCTCTTCCAGAACACTCACGGAACAGGAGAGGAGAGTGGCGTGCAGAGAGGCTCTGGCGCGTCTTCCAAGGATGGAAGCATCAGCTAGAAGGTGAGTTGAGGGCAGGTTGGAGGAGAATCCGGAAGCAACTCCAGCTGTTTGGTTCCCTCCACGGCCTGGAAGCAGGGAAGCAACTAGAATGAGGAATAACAGTTGGAAGGGATCTTTGAGGTCATCTAGTCCAGCCCCCTGCTCCAGCAGGAGACCTTATACATTTCAAGCACATGGCTGTCCAGTCTCTTCCTGAAAGCCTCCAGAGATGGAGCAACCACAGCTTCTGCAGGCAAACTGGTTAATTCTCATAGTCAGGAAATGTCTCCTTGTTTCCAGGTTGCTTCTCTCCTTGATTTGTTTCCATCCACTGTTTCCTGTTCTGACTTCAATTTGGAGTTGCATCAATTTGGGTTCGGCCAACCGGTGCACATTTTTGATGGTTGCAACATCCCACACTCAGGATCCTCATTTGTAACCTTCCCAACTAGCTTCTGACAAGCAAAATCAGTGGGGATGCCAGCAGGAAGTTGCAAGTGACATTGCATTGGGAGGACCCTAGTGATGGAACAGGCCACCTGCTTCAGACCACCCAAGGCCTCCCCCGACCCACTGAAATACCTCATGCTCCCCACAATTGCTTCTCTGCCCCCCCCCAACCTTCCTGTGCTGGGTCACTTACCTTGTGAAGATTTGTCTCCTCTCCAGTGTCTCTGTTTCTTCGCCTGCTCCCAGCGAGTGGCGTGAGCAGAGGGAGAGCAGGACGAGCGCTCCCTGCTCGGCTTCTCTGATCACTGAGCCTACCAGCCAGTTCTGGAACAGTGGGCAGCCTCAGTGAGTCTCCTCCAAAGACTTCCAACTCTATGCGGAAAAGCATTTGCATGAAGTGAGGTTTTGGGGCAGTGAACTCGCATTGCTCCAAGCCCTTCAATAACATGCAACCATTTTTCCTGCGGAGACAGGAACCTTCTGAATGTCCTGATTCCGCAGGATGTCAGGCACCCCATTCTCTGCAAAAGTGGATGGATGCCTTGGTGGCACAGCAGACTAAACTACTGTTAAAAGTAGCACTTAGCTGCCTGCAATTACTGCAAGTTCAATTCTCACCAGGCTCAAGGTTGACTCAGCCTTCCATCCTTTTGAGGTAGGTAAAATGAGGACCGGAATTGTGGGGGCAATAAGCTGACTTTGTATAAAAAAGAACACCGCTTGGGGGGGCGCCGAAAGCCCTACTAAGCAGATATATATAAAAGTATGAAGGCTATTGCTTAACACATTGTAAGACGCCCTGAATCTCCGGAGAAGGGTGGCATATAAATCGAACCAATAAATAAATAAATGCCTGAACTCATGTGAGACCGCGCACCGCAGAAGTTTCCAGTCTGTCAGGGCAACAAGTGTTTGACCGGCCCTGGGCGAGGGGGGGGGTTTGGAAACGGAGCGAATTGACCAAGAAAAAGGGGACCTCTCAGAGCAGAAATGTTTTTTCTCACCAGGATCCTTCACATCTTTCTGGGAAAATTTATTCCAGGGGTGAAATCCAGCAGGTTCTAACAGATTCTGGAGAACCAGTAGCAGAAATTTTGAGCAGTTTGGAGAACCGGCAAATACCACCTCTGGCTGGTGCAGAATGGAGTGGGAATGGAGATTTTGCAATACCCTTCCCCCAGGAGTGGGAGGGAATGGAGATTTTGCAGTATCCTTTTTTTTTTTTTTAAATTTGATTTATATGCCGCCCTTCTCCGGAGACTCAGGGCGGCATACAATGCGCTAAGCAATAGCCTTCATACTTTTGTATATTTATACAAAGTCAGCTTATTGCCCCCACAACTGGGTCCTCAATTTACCTACCTTAGAAAGGATGGAAGGCTGAGTCAACCTTGAGCCTTGGCAAGATTCAAACCTGCAGTAATTGCAGGCAGCTGTTCTTAATAACAGGGTGCTTTAGACCACTGTACTACCAAGGCTCTCTTTCAATCCTTCCCCTGGAGTAGGGTGGGAATGGAGATTTTGCAGTATCCTTCCCCTGCCACGCCCATCAAGTCACGCCCACAGAACCGATAGTAAAAAAAATTGGATTTCACCACTGATTTCTCCCTCCTCCCCCCATTCTTCCAGTAAATGACATCCACTGCAAATGGCTTTTTTTTCTGGGTGTAATACAAATAGTCCACCCTTACCATTTGCCTCATTTAGTAACCATTCAAGATTATGATGGTACAGGGGAAAAAAAGCTTTGCAAACAATCATTGTATTTTAAACCATCAAATTTTCCCATGATCATCTGTTGGCCATTAGCATGCTTCCCAACCAGCAAAGTAAAGTTCATGGAGAAGAAATAAATCACTAGCAGTCCAGTGATGTCTCACTTAATGTCCACAGTGATTCATTTGATGACCATAAGCAAAGTGATGTCAAAAGCCTGTAGTACAGGCCTGATAAGAGCCTGTAGTACAGTGGACTAAGCACTGTTATTAACATCTGCTGCTTGCAATTACTGCAAGTTCAAATCTCACCAGGCTCAAGGTTGACTCAGCCTTCCATCCTTTCTAAGGTAGGTGAAATGAGGACCCAGATTGTGGGGGCAATAAGCTGACTTTGTATAAATATACAAAAGTATGAAGGCTATTGCTTAACGCATTGTAAGCCGCCCTGAGTCTCCGGAGAAGAGCGGCATATAAATTAAAGCAAAACAAAACAAAACAAAAAAAGCCTGTTGCAAAATTGCCAGTCATAATTGTGGTCACTAAGTGAGGACTCCCCGTGTTCATTCATCACAACTCTGCAGGCTTCTTCTTCCTACAGTTGATAGGGATGATATCAATGTGCAGTAGGGAGTCTCTGCATTGCTTTCCTATTAGACAGCTACTGTCAGACCTGCCCCAGTTAGATCCCTAAGGGAAGAAAGACCCTTGACTCTTAGAGTTCAAAGAACTCTGGATTGAAAGCATTCCAAAGGGCAATAAATGCTGTTTTCAATCATCACTCTCTTTCATTCTGACTCTGAAATATGTTTCTTGTCAGGGTGGATTTGATTTAAATCGAGTCGATTTAAATCACTAGTAAAAAGTCTTGATTTAAATCAACTCGATTTAAATCATAATTTTTAAAGAGCAACTGTCATCTCTGCTACTCCTTTGACCCGCTGTTGACTCACCGATAGTCCCAGTGTTGCAGAATATACAGCCTCATGCTACATAACTAAGCTCCATTTCATGCTGAATAAACTAAATTATTTATGTATCTTAAATAGAAAACTATCTTACGATAGATTTTTACCCCCAAAGTTTTTTATTAAAATAAATTCAATAAAAATTAAAAATTCCAATTTAAATAAAAAAAATCCGATTTAAATAAAAAAAATCTGATTTTTTTGATTTTTTTAAAAAAATCATTGATTTTTATCCAGCCTGCTTCTTGTAATCCAGTTTGATAAAAATCTTCCCTTTGTTCTGTTATATGTAATATTCATCTTAATTACAATTCCAATTACAATAATTGCTGTACTAAGAATGTGTATTGACCCAAGTCAACGAGAGTTTCATGGTTGAATGCAAATGTAAACTTGGATCTCTGTAATCTTCAGTGTGACAGGTAAATCATAATTAATCTAAGGTTATTTTAGCATTGCGGCATATTTCCTTTTTGCCTTTAATGTACATGCTTTTCTTTTTTCACATGTTTTGCAACCATTTTATAAACAATTAAAGTTACTCTTTTCTTTGAATCGTATAGACAAAGAAGACGGCAATAAGAGCACTCCAGACAATTGAGAATAACAAGCAACATTACAAAGGAAAGCCAATCAAGCCAGAAATCAAAATATTTTCCATCTCCTTCAGAAAACCACAAAATTCTCCTCCTTCCCCAGCAGGTGATGAAAAAGAGATTTCAAACTGAAAAGAGTAGAGTACACAAGGATACATTACAGGTAGTCCTCAACTTACAACAGTTCATTTAGTAACCTTTTGAACTTATAGCGCCAATGAAAAAACGGACATGACCATTTTTCATACTTATGACTATTGAAGCATCACCATTGTCACATGATTTATATTTAGATGCTTGGCAGCTACCTCCCATTTATTACGGTTGCCGTGTTTTAGGGTCAGGTGATCCCCTTTTGCAGCTGCACAGATATGCCTATTGTGGGAAACATGCAGATTTCAAATCACAACTGAGTATGCACGAAATGATCCACATTGGAGAAAATCAATACTAATGTGGCCAAACTTTAGTCAGAACAGCTCCCTTGTTGTTCATGGAAGGACCCACATAGGAGAGAAGCCCTACAAGAGCTCTCAATATAGTGAGCTTGGCAACTTGGTGATACATTAGAGAACTCACACCAGGGAGAAACCGTTTGAATGCTCTGATTGTGGGAAGTTTTGGTCTGAATTCTGGCCTGGTGATACACTAGAAAATGCACACAAAAAAGAAATCATATGAGTGTCCTGATTGTGGGAAAGGTTTCAGTCGTAATTCCGGCCTGGTGAAACACCAGAGGATTCACACAGGAGAAAAACCTTTTGAATGTCCTGATTGTGGGAAAGGTTTCAGTCGTAATTCCAGCCTGGTGAAACACCAGAGGACTCACACAGGAGAGAAACCCTTTGAATGTCCTGATTGTGGGAAAAGTTTCAGTCAGAATTTCAACCTGGTGATTCACCAGAGGACTCACACAGGAGAGAAACCGTATGAGTGTCCTATTTGTGGCAAAAGTTTCAGTCGGAATTCCAACATGCTGATACATCAGACGACTCACACAAGAAAGAAACGCTTTGAATGTCCTGATTGCGGGAAATGTCTCATTAAAAAATCCCAGCTTATCTATCACCAAAGGATTCACACAGGAGAGAAACCCTTTGAATGTGCTCTTTGTGGGAAAACTTTCCGTCAGAATTCCCACCTGCTGATACACCAGAGAGTTCACACAGGAGAAAAACCGTTTGAATGTGCTCTTTGTGGGAAAAGTTTCAGTGAGAATTCCAAGCTGGTGATACACCAGAGGACTCACACGGGAGAGAAACCATTTGAATGTCCTGATTGTGGGAAATGTTTCAGTCAGAGTTCCGGCCGGGCGAAACACCAGAGGACTCATACAGGAGGGAAATCATATCAGTGTCCATATTGTGGGGAAAGTTTCATGAGAAAATTCCAGCTCATAAGACACCAGAGGACACACACAGGAGACAAACCCTTTCCATGCCCTTTCTGTGGGAAAAGTTTCAGGTACAATTACAACCTGGTGATACATCAGAGAACTCACACGGGAGAGAAACCATTTGAATGTCCTGTTTGTGAAAAACGTTTCACCAGAGATTGCTACCTCGTGAAACACCAGAGGACTCACTCAGGAGAGAAACCCTTTGAATGTCCTGATTGTGAAAAACGTTTCCGTCACAAATCCAGCCTGATAATTCACCAGAGGACACATACAGCAGAGAAACACTTTGAATGTCCTTATTGTGAAAAACGTTTCAGTCAAAGTTCCATCCTGTTGATACACCAGAGGACTCACACAGGAAGTAAACACTTCGATTGTCCTGTTTGTGGGAAAAGTTTCATTAAAAAATACCAGCTCACAAGGCACCAGAAGATACACACAGGAGATAAACCTTTTGAATGTCCTGATTGTGGGAAATGTTTCAGTAAGAATTCCTACCTGGTGATACACCAAAGGACTCACACAGGAGGGAAACACTTTAATTGTCCTGATTGTGGGAAAAGTTTCATTAGAAAATACCAGCTTACTATGCACCAGTGGATCCACACAGGATATAAACCTTTTGAATGTCCTGTTTGTGGGAAAGGTTTCAGTTATACTTCGAGCCTGGTGACACACCAGAGGACTCACACAGGAGAGAAACCGTATGAGTGTCCTGTTTGTGGCAAAAGTTTCAGTCAGCATTCAAACATGGTGATTCACCAGAGGACTCACACAAGAGAGAGACCATGTTAGTGTCCTGTTTGTGGAAATGTTTCAGTCAGAATTCCAACATGGTGATTCACCAGAGGACTCACACAGGAAACACTTTGAATGCCATGATTGTGGGAAAAGTTTCATTAGAAATGTCCATCTCATGTAAGGTGACCAGGTTTTAACATTGGTAAAGAGGGACGCCATTGTGGGCGTGGCTTATTTTGTGGGCGTGGCTAGGTCATGTGACTGGGTGGGCATGGCTAGCTGGTCATGTGACCGGGTGGCCATGGCTATGTGTATAGGGGCTACTCAGAGGGCTGAAAAAAGTCATTTCTGACAGGTCCTTGCACTTTTGACTGGTCCTCACACTTATGACCATCCTCACATTTATGCCCGTGCAGCATTCTTAACAACCATGTCACTCATTTCACAACTGCTTCTCTTCACTATGATGACAAGATAGGGCAAAAAACGTAAAATGTGAGGACAATCGTAAGTTTGAGGACTGGTCAAAAGTGCGAGGACCAGTCAAAAATAACTTTTTCAGCCCTCTGAGTAGTCCATATGCATAAAAGGATACAGCAATAGAGAGGATGAAGGAAGGGAAGAGAAATTAGAGTAGGAGTGAGGGTAAGAGAGGGAGGAAGAGAGGAGGAGAAGGAGAAAGGAAGAGGAAGTAGGGAGGAGAAGAAGAGGGTGGGGGGAAGAGAAAGTAAGAAGGAAAGAAAAGAGAGAGGTGGTAGGTTTGAGGAGAAAGATTGCTGTACAATAAAAAAGATGAAAGGGAAGAAGCCAACCCCAAACAAATATAAAGATATTAAGATAAAGAATGAATTGTTAAACTTTAAAGAATAAAAGAGAACAAATATGAATAAATAGCAATAATTAGAAACACACATACGAACATACAATGTATTTTCTTTGAACAGAATATTTGGCTGGTTCACAAATTTAAACAGTGTTTAGTCATTTCAATTAAATTTACAATTTCTATATTTCCTTTTTGCCATATTTATTCCTCATCTATTTTTTTTAAAAAAACAATATTACCCTTCATCCTCATCTCTAATCTTAATCAAATTCAATTTTTCCCTTCTATTCTATATTATACCCCTTCCCATTGTCATCTATTTTTATATCCATCCTCACATTGGTTAATTATGTAATTATGTAATACAGTTGTTTAATACAAATTCAACATTTTAATATAAATCAATTAGTTATATAACTATCTTTGTTGTATATCAATATGAACATGAATATTCCAATTATTTCCATGCAATCCAATTTCTTACAAATCAATTAATTATATTTACCAATAATAATAAACCAAATAATTTCCCCCATATATTCCTCCAAACCACAACTTAAACATTTCTGCTTTCAACACAATATACAATTAATAGTATCTCGATTATTACAATTCCCTAGTTAAATAGAGCTTTTTTTCTTTTGTGTTTTAAAATCTTGAACTCTCCTCCTAAATTTCCCATTGTTTGCAGTTTTGCACCTACCTTTTTTGCTGAGGAAAAAGAAAAAGAAAAAGAAATCTCTCTCTGCCTCATTTTGTCACGTTGCAGCAAAGACCCTGCTTTCACTTTCGCTTCTTCAGCATAGCTAGGGGAAAAAAATTCTGCTCCAGGAACTCTTTACACTGATCACCTGTAGGGCGGCCCTTTGAAGCCCTGCGGCAAGAGTTTAAACAGTTTTTTTCCCTCTAGCCATCAGCTGGGACTCAGGAGGCAGCCGGGACTCAGGAGACAGAATGAAAAATCGGGACTTTTTTAAAACGCCGCAGGACGCGGGACAAATTGCTAAAAATCGGGACTGTCCCGCCAAAAGCGGGACATCTGGTCACCTTAATCTCATGAGACACCAGAGGATACACACAGGAGAGAAAACCTTTGGATGTCCTGCTGTGGGAAATATTTCCATTTCAATTCAAACCTGGTGAAACACCATTGGACTCACACGGGAGAGGCCTTTCAAATGTCCAGTCTGTGGACAGTACTTCATATGTAAATCACTCCTTATTTCATATAAGAAAATCCACGAAAGTTGATGAGTTTAGAGAGGGGTTGAATTTCATTATTGATTTCCCATCAGCAGAAATTAACTGGGTATTTCCTTTTGCAGAAATTGTGGAATTCCTCAAAAAGGCTTTTGGGTGGTGGTTTTTCTATATTGATTATGGAATTCCAACATGTGGAGATTCTGTCTTCTACCTTGTTGTCCTCCAGATTATGCAGTCCAGATTCCAGGACTGGAAAATCACTGCTGCAGAGAGTACACTTGCAGATGTATGGTTCTCCTGAATAATCTAATTAAAAATCTTTAAAGCAACCCAAACATGCACAAAAATCCAACCACAGGGGGCGGGGATTGAAAGGAGGGGGAAAAAATGACTTGGAGAGAAGAGAAATCTTAGAAATGTTGGAAGTCAAACATTTATTTGGATGCAAATTCTGGTGAGTTCTGCTTGTAGGGTAATCAAACTGCTGTTCCTTTGTTCTTTAGCATTGACAAGTTTTTCAGCATTGAAAAAATTTTCTTTATATAGACTGAACTGTTTTTCTTCAATATTGACTGCATCATTCTTTTTACCATTAACAGAGCATACTTACCCAGACATAATTGCAGAATGAATTAGATAAAGATGTGACTGCATGAATTTTCTTTTTCCCTCTTTCTCTAATGAAAGAAGTGCAGATCTCTTGCAAGGGTGTCTTTTTTTCCTCTCTGCATATTTCTTTTATGTACATTGAGAGCATATGCACCAAAGACAAATTCCTTGTGTGTCACACTTGGCCAATAAAGAATTCAATTCAATTCAATTCAATTCGGATTCTAGTCTTTACTAACTAAATAATAATGAATGAATTTAATACAATTTTTAAAGATATATTGAATGATCCTGAGAAAACTGAGTGAACTTTTACTCTATAGTCTACCCATGGATACATTTATTTATTTATTTATTTTTATTTGTCAAACACATATAAGATTACAGATATAAGTTTAAACATGATTATGAATACAGGATAAAGATATGAATAAATGGGGACAGTAGGACAGGAACGTAGGCACATTGGTGCACTTATGCACGCCCCTTACAGACCTCTTAGGAATGGGATGAGGTCAACAGTAGACTGTCTAAGGTTAAAGTTATGGGGGTTTGGAGAAGTAACCACAGAGTCTGATAATGCATTCCAGGCATTGACCACTCTGTTGCTGAAGTCATATTTTCTGCAATCGAGTTTGGAGCGGTTTACCTTAAGTTTGTATCTATTGTGTGCTTGTGTATTATTGTGGTTGAAGCTGAAGTAGTCATTGACAGGTAGGACGTTAAATAAAGGGACCCATCTTTTTCCCCCCGGAACAGCATTGGGCAGCCACCCTGGGTCAAGCCAATTAGATGAGCCCTCTTTTTAAATTTTTGTCTATCAAAGCCCGTAAATCCTCCACTTCCCTAGGAGTCATTGAATAGATCCCCTAAACTCCAAACACCCTCCAATCATCACCCACTTTCATTCTGACTCTGAAATAGGCTTTTATAGTCCAATTTGATAAAAATCTTCCCTTTTGCCAGGTATGCTACCATGTCCTTTGTTAGGGGCAGCATAGTGGTGGGATTCAAGTAATTTAACAACCAGTTCTCTGCCCTAATGATTTCTTCCAACAACCAGTTTGCCAAACTGCTCAGAAAGTTAACAACCGGTTCTCCCAAAGTGATGCGAACTGGCTGAATCCTACCACTGGGGCAGCAGGTATATATTTTGAACACACATACCATTTAGCCCTCTACAGCGTCTTTGGCATTTAGTCAAGCCAGCCACATGACCATGGAGACGTCTTCAGACAGCGCTGTCTCTTCGGCTTTGAAACGGAGATGAGCACTGCCCCCTAGAGTCGGGAACGACTAGTACATATGTACCTAGTCTCCCCATAGGTGTTTCAGTGAGAATTCCAAGCTGGTGATACACCAGAGGACTCACACGGGAGATAAACCATTTGAATGGGCTCTTTGTGGGAAAAGTTTCAGTGGGGTGATATGATAGCAATCTTTCAGTATTTGAAGGACTGACACAGAAAAGAGGAAGCATACAGCTAATCTTCACAAGCTAAGTACATATTTCCGCCGTGCCCTCAAGACCCTGATGTTCCAACAGGCGGGGCTAAACATATGAACATGTGAATGATTTTTTAAATGTTATCTAATTCTGGGTTTTATTTAATTGACCAAACTAAGTAATAATTTTAATTAGCAATTTTATGATGTTTGTGTGTCTATATTTTTCTTGACTGTACACCGCCTTGAGTCCTACAAGAGAAAGGCGGTATAGAAATATAATAAATAAATAAATAAATTAAATAAATATTTCACTGTTTCACTTGGCTCACCTGCAAAGATAGGTTGCTAGGAGACTGAAAATGATTGATACCACATAATCAGTGGGAAGATCTGGCCAATGCCATCGGTAGACAAGGGACAAGCCTGTTTTTTGGCCTCCCTATCAGATGCTTTAAAACTTGTGGACTTCAACTCCCAGAATTCTCCAGCCAGCATAGCTGCCAAATTTGGGGACCCCTGACGTAATCGGTGGGAAGATCTGGCCAATGCCATAGGTAGAGAAGGGACAAGCCTGTTTTTCAGCCTCCAATCGCGAGATGGCAGCATCTGTGCCTAGAAAACCAACAGTATAACAGCGTTCTCTGTGGTTGAGTTTAAAGGAGTTAAATCCACCAAGTACTTTATTGCTAGAAAGGATGGAAGGAGAGGAGAAGGACAGAGGAACTTCCTCTTCCGGAAGGGAACACGAGGTTAGAGTGGAGTGCAGAGAAGCTCTCACTTTTCTTCCAAGGATGGAAGCATCAGCTGGGAGGTGAGTTGAGGGCAGATTGGAGGGGAATCCGGGAGCAACTCAGGCTGTTTGGTTCCCTCCACGGCCTGGAAGCAGAGAAGCAACTAGATAGAATGAGGAATAACAGTTGGAAGGGATCTTTGAGGTCATCCAATCCAGCCTCCTGCTCCAGCAGGAGACCTTATACATTTCAGGCACATGGCTGTCCAGTCTCTTCTTCAAAGCCTCCAGAGATGGAGCAACCGCAGCTTCTGCAGGCAAACCGGTTAATTCTTCTCACAGTCAGGAAATGTCTCCTTGTTTCCAGGTTGCTTCTCTCCTTGATTCGTTTCCATCCATTGTTCCCTGTTCTGCCTTCAGATGCTCTGGAGAAAAGGTTGAGCCCCTCTTCTTTGTGGCAGCCCCTCAAATATTGGAAGACTGCTACCATTTCACCCCTCCTCCTTCTCTTTCTCTTCTGTAGACTAGACATACCAAACTCCTGCAACCCTCTTTTTATGTTTTAGCCTTGTTGGAAGAAATATCCTTCTGGGTTCAGTTCCAAGTGGGGAAAAAGACACTGGAAACATGGGGACTGCTTGAAAAGATGGTTTAATGGTGGACAGGATCACATGGTTTGAGTTCCTGAACAGAAAAGGGCCCAGATGTTGAGCGTGCCTTGGTTTTTATGCCCTCTCTGTGCTTTGAACTTCCTGGGGCCCCAAAAGTGTTTCCTGATTGGTTGTCAGACTCCCTGGGGTTGTGGGTCTTAGCCAGCCTTTTTGGTGATGTAATCTTCCCAGATGCCATGTGGTGAGTTTCTGTTGCTAGATGGGTCCTATTGTGTTGCAGATGATGGTCCATTGACAAAGGTGTGGGGGGGAGGGAAATTAGGTTTCTGCCTCTGGCCCATTGACAAAGGGGGGAGGGAGGAAGCTGAGAGCTGCTTTGTCTTTAAAACATGTTTCCCCATTTTTCATCCAGGGAAATATTTTAATATTTCCTAAAATATTTCATTCTTCTAGAAGAGGGGTGAGTGCTAACTTTCTACAGCCTCAAGCCCCCAAATATGTTGGTTGCCCTTTTATGTCTTCTCTCTTAGTATTTAGTCCAGTATAGCTGACCCTCTAATTCCATCCTGTATCTTTTGGGTGATAAAGATGTCAGGTTCCTCAGGGCCTCTTGCTTCACCAAGGGATTGGACTGGAAGATTTCCAAGGTCCCTTTCAACTCTTTTGTTCTGTTATGGACCCTGTTATGTTTTCTTGACAATAATATTGGACTTCTCTGCCACTGTGTTTTTTTTTATTTTTTACTTCCATGTCTAGCCCAACAAGCACGGTATTTCCTATTGGTGCCCCATCCATGTATTAACCAGGTTCAACTAAAAAGGTCCTATTGAGGACCTTTTGGGATGTTCAGTTTGTATAGGTAGTCCTTGCTTACCATTTGTTTCATGAGCCTTCAAAGTTACTATGGCTGCAAAAGCAAATGAAGACTTGGTCCAGAAATCTGTATTAGCAAGGTTCAACTAAAAAGGTCCTTGCATTTTTCCATTGATAGAACATTAATGTTCCATTTTTTCAAGTTCTTTATCCATTAAACTTTTATCTTTATATTCACTTCATTAGTCTTCTGTATTAAGATGTGTATCTTACTCCATCATTTCTTTGCTTTGTCAGATGTTCACCATAAATGATAAAAAAACTCTTCTTTATATTTCCAAAATTCATTGCCTTTATATTATTTCCTAACCATATCATACCATAAATAGTCGTGCCTTCAAAATCTAATTCATGGTCCTCTAGCTCAGGTAACCTCTTAATTTGGAGAGTCACCCACTCTTTTTGCCAGACAAAACAACAAGCATCAAAGTACAATTTCAAATCTGATAAACCCAAGCCTCCTCTTTCCTCAGCATCTTACAATAATTTATATTTAATTCTTGTTTTTTCCCTTGCAGTATATACTTAGAGATCTCCATCTGCCATTGTTTCAATGGAGTATCACAAGTATTGGTAAAGTCTGAAACAGAAAATCCATCTTTGGTAATTAGGGTGCTGGAAGGCTAAAACATACAAAGAATGGTTACAGGAATTGGGTATGTCTCGTCTAATGAGAAGGACCAGCAGAGACATGACAGCAGTGTTCCAGTATCTGAGGGGCTCCTATAAAGACCAAAGAATCAAAAGAAACAATGGATGGAAACTAACCAAAGAGAGAAGCAACTAGAACTAAAGAGAAAATTCCTAACGATTACAGCAATCAACCAATGGAATAGCTTGCCTTCAGAGATTTTGGGTGCCCCATCATTGGAGGCTTTCAAAAAGAGATTTGACGGCCACTTGTCTGAAATGGTATAAGATCTATCGCTTGAGCAGAGGGTTGGACTAGAAGACCTTCAAGGTCCCTTCCAACTCTATTTTTCTGTTATATGTCGTATTCATCTTAATTATAGCGATTCTATCCAATAATTGCTGTACTAAGAATGTGTATTGACCCAAGTCAACAAGAGAATTTAATGGTTGAATGCAAATGTGAACTTGGATCTTGGTAATTGCATGTATTAAATAAAACATAATTAATCTAAGATTATTTTACAATTGTGGCATGTTTGCTTTTTACCTTTAATGTACATGTTTTTCTTTTTTCACATCATCTGCAACCATTTTATAAACAATAAACATTACACTTTCCTTTGAGTCTTACAGACAAAGAAGACACCAGTAAAAGCACTCCCGACAACTGAGAATAACAAACAACGTTAAAGAAGAAAGCAAATCCAGCCAGAAATTGAAATATTTTCCATTTCCTTCAGAAAACCCCAGAGGCAATCAAGAAGAAGAAACTGGAAAAAGTAGAATATGCAGAACTCAAGGATACATTACAGGTAGTCTTTGATTTACAACAATTCATTTAATGACCATTTGAAGTTACGGTGGCACTGACTTATGACCATTTTTCACACTTAGGACTATTGCAGCATCCCCATGGTTTCGGTCAGAACTCCGGCCTGGTGATACGCTAGAGGATGCACACAAAAAAGAAAGCGTAAGTGTCCTGATTGAAGGAAATGTTTCAGTGGGAATTCCAAGTTGGTGATACACCAGAGGATGTGCACAGGAGAGAAACCCTTTGAATGTCCTGATTGCGGGAAATGTTTCATTAAAAAATTCCAGCTCATGAGTCACCAGAGGACACATACAGACAAACCATTTGAATGCCCTTTCTGTGGGAAAAGCTTTAGTCACAGTTGCCGCCTGGTGATACACCAGAGGACTCACACAGGAGAGAAACCCTTTGAATGTCCTGATTGTGGGAAATGTTTCAGTCAGAATTCCCAGCTGACGATACACCAGAGGATTCACACGGGAGAGAAACCCTTTGAATGTCCTGATTGTGGAAAATGTTTCATTAGAAAACCCCATCTTATGAATCACCAGAGGATTCACACAGGAGAGAAACCATTTGAATGTGCTCTTTGTGCGAAAACTTTCCGTCAGAATGCCCACCTGATGACACACCAGAGAGCTCACACGGGAGAGAAACCGTTTGAATGTCCTGATTGTGATAAACGTTTCACTAACAATTCCAGCTTGATAATACACCAGAGGACTCACACAGGAGAGAAACCCTTTGAATGTCCTGATTGTGGGAAATGTTTCATTAGAAAACCCCATCTTATGAACCACCAGAGGACTCACACAGGAGAGAAACCATTTGAATGTGCTCTTTGTGGGAAAAGTTTCAGACTAAATTCTCAACTGGTGATTCACCAGAGGACTCACACAGGAGAGAAACCATTTGAATGTGCTATTTGTGGGAAAAGTTTCAGTGAGAATTCCAAGCTGGTGATTCACCAGAGGACTCACACAGGAGAGAAACCATTTAAATGTGCTCTTTGTGGGAAAAGTTTCAGTCACAATTCCAATCTGGTGAAACACCGGAGGACTCATATTGGAGAGAAATCATATCAGTGTACATATTGTGAGAAAAGTTTCATTAAAAGATTGCAGCTCATGAGTCATCAGAGGACACACACAGACAAACCCTTTGAATGCTGTTTCTGTGGAAAAAGTTTTAGTCACAATTGCCGCCTAGTGATACACCAGAGAACTCATACAGGAGAAAAACCCTTTGAATGTCCTCATTGTGGGAAATGTTTCAGTGAGAATTCCAAGCTAGTGATACACCAGAAGACTCACACAGAAGACAAGCCCTTTCAGTGTCCTGATTGTGGGAAATGTTTCATTACAAAACCGTATCTTATGACTCACCAGAGGACTCACACAGCAGAGAAACCCTTTGAATGTGCTCTTTGTGGGAAAACTTTCCGACAGAATTCCCACCTGTTGATACACCAAAGGACTCACACAGGAGAGAAACCCTTTAAATGTCCTGATTGTGAAAAATATTTCAGTCACAATTCCAGTCTAGTAATACACCAGAGGACTCACACAGGAGAGAAACCATTTGAATGTCCTGTTTGTGGAAAATGTTTCATTAAAAATTACTACCTAGTAATACATCGGAGGACTCACACAGGAGAGAAACCTTTTGAATGTCCTGTTTGTGGAAAAAGTTTCATTAAAAATTACTACCTCGTGATACACCAGAGGACTCACACAGGAGAGAAACCCTTTGAATGCCCTGTTTGTGAAAAACGTTTTAGTCACAATTCCAACTTGCAAATACACAAGAGGACTCATATAGGACAGAAACTGTATTAGTGTCCTATTTGTGGCAAATATTTCAGTCACAATTCCAATATGGTGATACAGCAGAGGATATACACAGGAGAGAAACTCTTGGATATCCTGATTGTGGGAAATATTTCCGTTTCAATTCAAACCTGGTGAAACACCAGAGGAATCACATGGGGGAGACATTTCAAATGTCCACTCTGTGGAAGGTACTTTAGGCCTAAATAACTTTTTATTGCATACAAGAAAATTCACATGAGGCAAAAATTGATGAGTTTGGAGAAGGCTTGAATGTCCGCCAGAGGCACACAATATGCATACAGGTTTATTGCCCATTTGTTGCCTGCATCCTTCCGGCCTAGATGTTTGATGGTAGGATGTTAGCAGGCAGCTATCCAAAATGGTGGACTTGCCATCTAGTATGCTATAGGGGTGAAGGTGTTGCTGGACTAGGAATGGGGACACTCAAGTTCCAATCCCTCCTCAGCCATGAAAGGGCCCTCAGTGTCAGCCCCACTTGATAGACCAGTCCAAGAAATCAACTCTACAGGAAGTATCTAACACTTTTTTTAATTGAGACTGAATAATAATAAGATCTTGCAAGTCTGGTTGTGTTGTGCCTCCCCTCCCCCACCATTTCTTTTGCTCCTGTGAATTAGGAAGGTATTTATCTGAGCCTGTTTGTAACATGATTTCTGTGGTGTACTTGAGATAAGCTGCATATCTCCCAAGGCCATCTTTTTACTCTCTGCCCGGTGTTGGGGAGGTGAGGCGGCGCTCTGGGCATATGACTGGGTAGTGGTGAAGGTGCTGAATGAGCAGCAGGACGCTGAGTGTGTACCCCACTCAGCCTTGGAAGGTCCCTAGGGAGCTCCATTCACTAGCGAACCTCTGAGTTGTTCCCGCTACAATACATCTGAGATGTTTAAAGTAAGAAAACATTCATAGTAAGCTGAATTGACCTTGAGTGGCCGCAGGGGGAAGAATCAGGCAGGAATTTCTGCACCTGTGGATCAAGGTTTTTTATATTTCCTGACTACCTCAGAGAGGATATAGTTGCCAACGTGACAAATATAGCAGGGGTGAAATGCTCCCGGTTCAGACCGGATCACCTGATTCGGTAGCGATGGCAGTGGGTGCTTCAGAGAAACGGTAGCAAAAATCCCTGCCCCCCCCCATGCCCAGCTGAGCTGTGCGATCATCAGAGGCTTTTTTTTTTACTTTTAAAAGCATTTTTTTCTACGATCTCTTCGATGCTTTTAAAAGGTTAAAAAAGCCTCCGATGATCCTAGCTGAGCAGCGCGATCATCAGAGGCTTTTTTTTTACTTTTGAAACCAATGCTTTTAAAAGTAAAAAAAGATTGCGCAACACAGCTAATCACCCCCCTCCTCGTGCGCTGTTCTACTTACCGCATGCCTCCTTCTGACATGGACTGCATGTGCGTACCTCGCATTTGGTGCATGGTGCACACTACGCATGCGCAGCCAGCAAACCGGTAGTAAACCGGTTCAGATTTCACCACTGAAATATAATCACCCGGATGGGATGTTCAAAAATTATGCAACAATTTATATGGTACCTGCTCATTTCTTTATCTGTCAACTGTCCCATTATGCTAGCCAACAAAATAAATTCCTGAGACTTTTTTTTTTCTCCAAGAGTATATGTTACTGAAAAGCCACATCGGTACTGAAATGGAAAAGCCAGTTCTAACATTTTGTGTGTGAAAATCATAGATAAATAACTCTTTTCCCCTCTGGATCTCCCATTGCCCTTTGTACATCAATCAGTTGCACCTGAGTTGTTTTGAGAATGATTTGTCTGCCTTGGATGTTTCCCAGAGCTTGGGGGTTTGGAACTGTCTCGGGTTTCCAGATGGCACACTTGCATTCCAGATTTCCACTTCCAAACCACCCTCACATTCAGTGCCTTCCCTCCCCCCTCCTGTTGTTGTCTGGTTGTGAGCAGGCTGCAAGTCAACCATGACATGCCAACCCTCCAGAAGGATTAATCCTACAAAGAGACAAACAGAAACATTTTATTTTATTTATTTATTTATTTATTTTATATCAAATTTATATACCGGCCTTCTTCCTAAGGACTCAGGGTGGTGTAAGCCAAAGTAAAAACATAAACTATAAACATTAAAATACAATTAAAAAGATATATAAATATTTGGCCCCATAATTAAAAGCAATTATTCCTACACTAAGCTTTATACACAAACATCTTATTGGATCCTAGGGCACACCACAAAGTGGGCTTGCTTAGGAAATAAGTCTGTATTGACCCAAATCACTGTGTTTTTGGCACTCTCCGGCAGCTCCACAATAAAGTCCATACATATTTCCCTCCAGGTAGCCGTGAGTCTGGCCACCATCTGTAACGGTGCTGAAGTGCACACAGAACAGCTGGCTACATAGGCTTCTATGACAGGATAGTGGGGAATGGAAGGATTTATATTTCTTGCAGACAGCTGGTAATATGCATCTGGTCAGAGCTGAAGAAGATTCTTGGATGAGAAGCAAAACATCCAGTTGCTTCCTGAAAAAGCACCTTTGGGACAACCATGACGTGGATGACAGAGAATCTCTATAGACTTTTAGGCTTCTATGTTCTTCATTCATGGTCATCAAAACTGTCTCTTGATGAAAATATAATCCGGAAAATATTGGACTGTGCAGAGATGGATAGATTGACATTGAAAATAAAAGATAAAGGAGACGCAGAATATTGTTTAATGTGGAATAGGTTTTATCAATGGTTAGAGATAAGAGGTAGAAATTAGATGAAGAAAGAGTATTGTTATGTTTAAGAAAAATGTGAACATTGTTTATAATTACAAGTATGCTAATATATTTAACAGGAACAGAAATAAGCAAAAATAATCAAATATGATTATAATTATTTGGGGATTATTATTATTATTATTATTATCATCATCATCAGTATATGTGGGTTTTTTTTTTCCTTTTTATAAAATTGTATGCCTGGACAATACACTGTATTCAAAGTACTTATATATAAATTTAAAAAAACTTGACAGAAAAAAAGGTCTCTTTACGAAGTGAAGGGTTTCCACAAATCCAAAATGGCTTTGCTGCAATATTAAAGTCCTCTGGCTCGCCAGGATGTATAGTTTGCTCCCCATCCAGGCCAGGCCATCTCTTAATAACGGCTCACTCTTGTGTCATCTGCTGCCACTCAGGAAGAGAGCTATGGGGGCAAAATGCAGATCACATCATCAGAGGGACAGAGTGGTTGGACTGATGTTGGATTGAAATTGAAAAAAATTAAATTTATCAAGAGGAGGGAAGAGAAATTGGGGAAGACAGATTGGTCAGAGATGCTGAGTGCATGAGAGACAGATTACAGGTAGCTGAACAATTGTAGAATGTTAGAAACCCACTGTCTGGAGAGCAAGTGAGACTTGAGAAAAGGGCTTTATGTTGCCTTTTTATTATTAAATTTATTTATTATTAAAACTTGTTGCACATCTCACAGTTTGAGGTGACTCTGAGCGTCTTGCCTTGCCCTAATGTTCATAGCAACACTGACAATACCCATTTTTTCCCTTGTCAAAAGCTACTGAAAATTCTTAATGCGTTTTTAAAAATGAAACATTTTCCAGTCTACAATTTTTTCTCAAATTGCCACCACCAAGGGAGATGCAACAAATACGTCAGCAATATGGTGCTGCTATCACCCAGCAGCCATCAAAGGGTAACAATTGGGCACTTCCAAGAAAAAGAGTTCCTAGCAGGAGTTGCTAATAAACCTGGAGATGCTGTGATCAAAGCCATGATCCCTTTTCTCGTCAACTCAATATCCCTACAGGTCTTCTCCATCAGGTTCATCTGCAAGGCAGAACAGCCTCTACATGTGAAATTTTACACTGCTTTTTTTCACTGGACCTTGGGCCAACTCCCCACACCCGTCACCCATCGTACACTTGCATTTTGAAGATCTCCTGGGAGCAGCTGTCATTTTCAGTGCACCCACAATTCTTTACAGTGGTCTGCACAGTGTTAAGGTAGCAAAACAGCAGTTTCTCCCCCTCCAACATTACAATGATCCAAAAGCAGCCAACATTTTGGCCCTGAGGCACTTGTGTCAAAATGGCAGCTGCTTCCACAAGCCCACCGCATGGCCCAGGGATGAATCCCGAGCACAATGAAAATAGCAGTTGCTTCCACGACACAGTCATACCACCCAGGGATGAGTGGCTTGCCCATTTTTCCCAACATGAGGTTCAAAGATCTTCAAAAGGTAAGGAGGTAGCGGCTGTGAGGTCTGTTGGTGTGGGAATCGGGCCTAAGGACTGCAGGCACCCAGTGGGAGTGAAAAAGCCTGGGGGGCGAGGGAAAAGCTTGGGGGACCCCACAGTTGCGATAGGGAGAAATTGCAATGAAAGCCTGGGACTGCATTATGCCTTCAACTCTGAAGTAGCCACTGTTCTGCTTCATGACTCGCAAATTTATTTAATAGCTTCATCAGGAACAGAAGGGGTGCGGCTAGTTAAGCAAAGCAGTCTCGTTTAAGGGCCGTTGCAACATGCAACCACAATTGGTAGTCCCCATTACAGTTATATGTTGAGGACTACTTGTATGGTGGTTGGGGAATTCTGGCACTCAAAATCTGAAGGACACCAAGGTAAAAGAAAGAAATTCCACCTGTGGGAATTCCATGATCAATATACAAAAAACACCACCCAAAAGACTTAGAGGGATTCCACACTTCTGCTGAAGGAAGTATCCAGAAAAGGTCTGCTGATCTCCAGAAACAGGTACCATATTTTTCGGTCTATAAGACACACTTCCTCCCCACCCCACCCCCAAAAGTGGGTGGAAATGTCGGTGCATCTTATAGACCAAATACGGCCCTGTTTTTGCCCTCCCGAAACCCCTCTTGCACATCCAATTTTCGCCAAAAATGGGCCGCTTTTTCGCAAAAAAAGGGACACACAGAGGGTTTTGGAGGCCTGCAGAGTGCTCCTGGGGGACGGGGAGGCCAAAAACCGAATGCACAGAGGCCAAAAACTTTTCTTTTTTTTTGCTTGTTTCCCTCTTTGAAATCTAGGTGCGTCTTATACTCTGGTAAGTTTTATAATCCGAAAAATACGGTAGTTATCCTTTATCAAAGTAACATTTTCCATTTTTTCTCTCTCCAGTTATAGATCTAATCTTGAGATGTGTTGACTAAAAAGGCCAGAATTCAAAGAGTCAATTTCTTACCTACACTCCCAATGAGAAATCAGAAATGAAATTCAAGCCTTCTCTAAACTCATCTACTTTTGCCTCATGTGGATTTCCTTATGTGCAATAAGAAGTGATTTAGGCCTGAATTATTGTCTGAGACTGGAGAGCTTTCTCTCCTGTATCTATCCTCTGGTAAACCAGTCCAGGCTGCAGCCCACAGCAGGGCCGTGGCCTATTTGGAACCAGTGAGAGTTCCAAATTTGTGAGAGGCGGGCCAGTGCATGTGCACAGTTCCACTCACACAAGCGGTGCCCAAAAGACTTCTCTTCTGTGAATGGAATTGCGTGCGTGTGTATGCGTGTGTTGTGGCTCCGTTACCTGAGCCTGTGTCATCGGCAGGAGAGGACTCCAAGAGTGAAGGAGAGGAGTTGGCAAGGCCCCCCTCTCCAGGACCCTCCTCTTTGGCAATTCCTTTGGTGTCCTCCGAAGGGCAAGAGATAGGGGCGGGGCCAAGCACGTCTACGCAGCCACAGGTGGACAGTGATGAGAGTAATGAGTCTTGGCTGGATCCACGCCAGTGTCACAGAGATAAGCGCACGCAACAGAAGAGGAGGCGTGCCAGAGATTAGGCTGAGTCACTGGACCACACCCCACAGGGTATAAAAGGGAGCGTGGTGGCCAGTCAAGCCTTGTGACGAACAAAGCTGAAAGCTTCCACGCCATTCTGCATTACTGGACTTTTGCTATAGACTTTGCTGGATTATATTTGGACTTGATTTACTCTGTAATTATTGAACATTTTACTTTGATGTACCAGAAGCGGAGAGACGTTATCTCTTTGTGAGTAATAAACTCTTGGCAGGTAGCCACTAGGTTGCTGCCAAGTTCTGTTATCATAAGGAAAAGGATTTTGTCGGCTGGTTTGGTTTTTAACTCTTGGACGTCTGTTGGTGTGTGTGCGTGTGGGATGGGGACAGAACAGCATGCTATCCCGCTGCTCGGGCAGCCTGAATCCTCTCTCTCTCCCCCAGCCAGGCTGCCAAGTGGCCTGCTCCCAGTGCTCCAAAATTGGAAAGGTGAGAGTAGAGGCTGAGTGAAACAAACTCACCCTGATCAGCTTTGCTGACTCACAGAGGCTGCCTGCTCAGGACATCCAATCCGCTTTTGGAGCGTCAGGGCCGTACCCCCAAAGGCTTTTTTTCCCTCTATGCCAGAAGCTTTTGCAAACAGATGAAAGGCAGGGCTACCAAGCTGCAAAGGTTGGGGACTACTCCTCTGGTGTACCAACAGGTCAGAATAAACTTTTTTTTCTGGACACTCATATGGTTTCCCTCACGTATGAGTCCCTGGTGTGTCACCAGGTTGGAATTCTGCCTGAAACATTTCCTACAATCGGGACATTCATACAGTTTCTCCCTGATGTGGGCCCTCTAGTCTGTCACCAGGTTGGAATTATGAGTGAAACTTTTCCCACACTCTGGAGACTCATATGGCTTCGCTTCAGTGTAAGTCCAGCAAAGGGGTGGGTTCTACTTACCTTTACTACCGGTTTGCAACCGGATCACAGTCAGCACATTCAAAGGGTTTGTCTCCTGTGTGAATCCTCTGGTGTATCACCAGGTGGAAATTCTGATTGAAACTTTTCCCAGTCAGCACATTCAAAGAATTTCTCTTTCTGAGTCCTCTGGTGACTCATGGGGTGGGAATTTCTAATGAAACTTTTCCCCAAAACTGGACACTCATACACTTTCTCCTTGGTGTGGGTCTTGTGATGTATCACAAAGTTGCCGTACTTGCTAAAGCATTTATCACAGCGAGAACATTTGTAGGGCATCTGTCCTGTGTGTGTCTTTCCATGATCACAAGAGAACTGTTTAGACTAAACCTTTTGTCACATTTGTAGCATTTCTATGGCTTTTCGACAATGTAGATTCTCTCATGCATAATCAGTTGTGATGTACTATCTGTACTTTTCCCACAATAGGCACATCTATGGAGCTTATCCATCACTGATATTGATGTCAAAAATATGGAGAATCCCTTGTTTAGTTTGATTCAAACCGGTTTTTTCCTCATGTAGAGAGGCCTGTGTTACTGTTGGCTCTACGTGACTGTCTTAATTTATGTTTTTCTCCTCACTGACTTCCAGAAATAACCCTTTTTTTCTGAATGAAAAATAATCTCCCTTAATCTTTCATGTAATATATCCTTGAGTTTTGTATGCTTTACTTTTTGCATCTTGAAATCTCTTCTTGATTTTCTCTCATTTCTCTCTCACCTGCTGAGGAGGAAGAATTTTATGTTTTTTTGACAGAAAAGGAAAATATTTTGATTTCTCGCTTGATTTGCTTTCCATTTCAATGTTGCTTGTTATGCTCAGTTGTTCAGAGTGCTCTTATTGCCATTCTATTTATCTAAAAGATTCAGGGAAAAATGTAACCTTGTTTATAAAATGGATGCAGAAATGTGAAAAAAAGAAAAAAGTATACATTACAATGAATAAACAAACATCCTACAAGAATAACCTCTTACATTAC